TCCCTTGAACACCTGTTGAACATATTCCTGTTCTAATTATTAGTTTCAAGAGATTTGATCTCCAGTGTTCATGTAAAGACTCTGTCGTTTCTGTTTGCATTATCAATGTTGCTGTATCAAGTATAGTTGCTAAACTATAATAAACAGGTATTTCTTGATCACCGTACACGGGATGTTCTTTCAAATTATCTTCATTATAGTGCTGAACACATACAAGCAATTGATTAGGATCAATTAACGCTTTTTCTACAGCTTCTAATAAATTAACTGTACTAGTTCTTCCACATTGTGTTCTTAGTAAACCGTGTTCAGTATCTATCCATCCTCTTTGAATAGCAGTTTCAAGAAGAATATATCGTGGTGTATATTTTGCCGATGAATTTGAAGTAATTTTAGGTGTAGGATCAGGATACTGATATCTTACTAATGATAAACTAATAGCTGGTAGTGTAGTACTGTCAACTAGACGGACAGGTTGAAGAGGATGAACTGGTGATTTCAGCGGTAAACCTAAAGAATTCCTAAAATGTGTATTCTTAACATATATAATGTTTAATTATATTTTAGTGAGGATTCCAGCAATTATATAAATGCATGCATACAAGCAGGAAAACAGGCGAGCAAATAAGCAGACAAACGAATTGGTAGGCAAGCAGTGAAAGAAACGACACAGACGCGGGATATAAATTTAAAATAGTCAACAAGCAAAGAAGCATAAAAACAAAAAAAACAGGAACGTAGTGATGCAACAGGGGATTGATTATGTAATGCACAATGACATAGTATCAAATAGTTAACAATCATTACCATGGATAAATGATTTCGATATTTTAAATGAGTAGTATAATGATGATGGTGATAATGAGATGATCATGATAGAAATTCATCATCATTGTAATTTGTATTTCAATAGTAATAATAATAATGATAATGATTATGATAATAATAGTAATTTAAATAAACAGTCACAACGACAATAATGACACAACGCAAAAAAACGGAGGAAAAAAGAGGAAAAGAAAGAAGTTTACTATTAGTTAACAGTTTTAAACAAACATTATGAGTTAATACATAAAAAATATACATATTAATTAACTAAGCAATTAGTAAATATCATATATGAAAATGTGAATGAAAATTTGGCAAGCGCTTAGTTTTACATTCAAATAATTCAATTGTTTTACAGCTTGTTACTCAGATTATCGATGAACCCATTGTGTAGCAGACAAGATGATACATTTGTAACTCTGATTTACTGTTAATATAAATGGTCAAATAGCATTAAAAACTTGGCAATTTCTTTTCCAAAGTATTATGTACGTAATGATATTTAGTCGATTACTCAGGGTTTTTTTAGCCTAATAATATGTTTTATTTAAATGCATCTTTCGCTAGGTTCTGGGACATAAGCCTATTTATTAATGACAGACACTATTTTCAACTTGCAATTGCTGTCTCATTCTGTTAGTCAGGGGTTGAATTTTAGAATAACTGTTTGACAAAGCTTTTTATTCAAAGTCAAGTTTAAGAGGATAAAATGAGTCGTCATCTGATTTGAAAATGCAACGACATATAGGCTAGAAATTATTATTATCATCATTTTTATTTTGTTTCTTTATAAACGAATTGACGATAGTCGCACTGTTTAACTCCAACATTTCAAAGATTAATCTATTTCTTGAAAATCATCTTATGGAAGTAGAATATATAAATGAAATAGACCATTCAGTGAAAGTATATGAAAAGATTGAGGAATCTATGGTGATTTTACTGAACTGGTCAATATACACATGTTCGTAATTGTCTAAGTGCCCAGTTCGGAAAAGAAAAAATGCATATAAATATATCATACAATATTTAACAAAAAATAACACTTCTAATGTCATATAAGGATGAAAATAATCATCATTGCTAAAGCTGACAAGGTAAGTAATAATAATCGTTGTTATGACCATCGATGAAGTCAAAGACGGTGAGACTATAATTTATGGACGACCTTTGAGCGACGCTAAAGTGACCTTGAGAGTGAACAACTACTAATTAGGACTAAATGAGGGTTATAAAGCAGTTAGAATTCCCATTTACAGTTAATGGTTAGGGTTAAAAATTAGATTTATGGTTTTCATCACAAACTGACATCAGCTATAATGCCAAAACTCTATTTAGCCAAATGTATGGATGAATTCCGCGCCCAAATTCGTGACTCATTATCTTATATCTGATTGGTTCGTCCATAAATTATAGTCTCGCCTGAAAGACGAGTATACTGTTAAAAGAATTGAAATCATTTGTTAAATTTTTTTTCTGGTTTAGCCAATTTTTTAAATCTTGGTCATGTTTGCTTATGAACCGTCAAAGATTCATAAACTCAAGAATAGGACTAATGCAATTTAGGACTATTCTCAAATATCAATGGATATATGCATACTTATACACTGCTCAAACAGAGATTTAAGTGACTACGTATTTTTTTAAAAAGAAAATGGAATGAGTATTATCTATTGAACGAAATAGTGGTAAGATATGATATTGTATTGCTGACATATTAGTATTTCTATTAATGTGTTGGGGTGATCCAGAAAACTTCTCACAAAATACAAGAAAGGTTTAGGAAACACTAAGAAGCATTTTATTCAGTCAGTGTTCAATTGACGTTTAGCCAGAAACATCAAGAAACTGAAGTCACATGTAGAGTTTCTGATTGGCTGATTACCATATTTTCGGGAAACCCAAGGACATCTAAAACACTATAAGAACCCTATATTTTCTGTACTAAAACGAAACTTTAGAGTAAAGTGCTTCTCGCATATTTTGCACCTTTTCTCTCGTATTCAAGTTGCTGTGTAGTTCTAGCTTTGGGGTTACGAGAATAGCTTAGGAACCGAATATAGCGTTCAATTAGCAAGACTTATCATTATGATAACTGTTTCAAAGTTTAATAAACATTCGAAGTTGATATTCAGTAGATTTCGACTAGATTGTAAACTGTTCAAAACTATACTTCAATCTAACCTTCTTCACATTTGAAATGAATAAAATATAAATATTTGAATAGAGAATTAAAAGAATTCCTAATGTCGTTGTATGAAAAGATTTTTAACATTGAAATATCCATTAATCTTAACTAATTTGTTTAAGATCGTATTTTCACCTTTTGATTCTGTTTCTTATGATAAGATTCTGTTCCGTTTTTAATAATTTTCTCAATGTAACTTACTAGATTATATTCAGTTATTATGAATTATCATTCGAAAATGAACATAACTCGGTAATAATGACATTAATTCGTGGTGTATGCTTGTTGTTAAACTAGGTTTTATCATGAACTTATCTATCAAAACAATGACTGAAAGACTTATTACTAATGAAAGCATCATAAAATATATCCAGTTTTCCAGCTTAATTACTTCTTAAAATGGGGAAAAATATTTAAAAGAGCGCTAAAGTGTTAGTATAACTCAAAGGTCGTCTGTAAATTGTAGCCTCAACTATTACACTCATATACACATGATTATAATTATTTTGAACAATCAAACATAAGATATGATAAACATTATCAGGAAACGATTAAATACATCTAGTGTATTCAAAAGAATAATTGAAACTCGATGATTGAAGCGAATATATGAACTGAATAGTATTTTTAGGTTAATATGTTGATTGGTATTATATAAACGAAATTTATGTGGATTAATTTGTCAAGTCATGATAATGTTTATTATTATTATTCGACAAGTTGCATAATTTAATTATATTATATATAATATTATATATTATTATTGTTCTATCCGAGCGAAGATTAAATCACGAGTAACTTCTGAGACATATCAATTGACTAATATTATCTATACATTCCTATGATATAACAATTCAATAATTAGATTATGTATATTTATATTCCTCTTATTATAAGCTTTATTTTGACCTATAATTTATTATTGTACGGTTTACGGTTCGTAAGCTATGTTCAGTTCATTAACTACTACCTCCCACGTTTACAGCCGCTTTTTGGTTTTATTGTGTACAAATGTTATTTCCTATTTTGTGGTCTGTTTGATTGATACATAAACCCCGTATGTCTAAAATAAATGATTCCATTAGCTTATTGAAAGCTGGTATTTGTTGTTCTGGACTCAAGTGGACGGGCTAGGCGGACATAGGACCAATAAGGACGCTAGGCTGCTCATACCGGTCGAACATCATTGGTTTGGTACAGTGCTAAGATTGTATAAGTCGTATTTTGATTGATGGATAAATCACTTGATAAAAAGCCGGACATAAAGTCATAACAGTTATCATTATCATATATTATATGTGTACTTATAATAATTATGACAATCTTATTATTTATTCTAACGACATCATATATATATATATATATTAGACCACTAACGAATAAAGCTAATACTTATTTAAATCTTATTGTAACTGGGAATTTTTGTTTTGTTATATTAATCATCTTTGTAGCATAAAAGTTAGTCAGTTAGGCGAATCTATCTTAGACAGTTAAATTAATAATGACTTACAATAAAATCTACATATAAATATACATTCTTATAAACTGTTAAAATTCCGTATAAAAGTGTAATTCTCAATAGTTTCAGTGATTTCCAATGATATCCTATTTGATATCAAACCATAATAAAAACTAATTAGGATTTATTGTGCATTTTCTTAATGGCTAATAACGTATTTAGCAACGTAACGTCAAACAGAAATATATTCACTAAATTATTCTCTACTACTTATATTAAAATATTGTTCTCATAAAAGCAACAAGTAAATTCTTTGTTAAAACTATGTAAAAATGCTTACAAGAACCATATTAATAATTTAAAATGAGAATCATAGCAGTACATAGTGAAATTCATTTGTACTACTTATATAAACATATATATTTCAGTAATGGCTGACAAACTGTTGTTGTCCCTGTGTTGAGTAGTTTTTGAATATTTATATAAATTGAAGTAAAACAAGAAATAAGTTGTCAGTAAACGTACCTTAGCAGTTTTATTCACCTCTTGTTTACGATCACTATAGTGTTGTTCATTAGGATGTGAATATGTCGAAACTTCAGATTTCTCACTTTTTATATTGTGATTAATTTCAGATGGTGTAATCTGATTGTCTGATTTCAGTTTATATCTAATAGAAGAATCTGTCAGTATCCGATGAGTAGGTCGATAACTTGGTGGTGTTTTACATTGTATTTGACGTTGTACATTTAATGTCGTCTGTGGTGAAATATGCATAGATTTTTGATCAGGTGAACAGATTTCTTTATTTATATTATTTTGAAGTTGTTTACTACGAAGTATAGTATGTACAGATCTTGTAAAAGTGGTAGTTTCTTCAACTGTACGTACATGAACATGATCAAATGAACTGCCGATTAAATCAAATGGTGGTGGATTACCAACAGGCAATGCTTGTATCCAACCTTGATACAAAGCTTCTTCGACTGAATATAAATTTCCGCTTACCGGATGAGTATATGAACAATGGATAGGATCAATAATACCAGTCCCAATTGCATCAGATACTGAAACTAAACTATTCAAATAAGGATCAAACACTCTTTCTAAGCGATATATATCATGGCGATAATGAAATACTTCCAACCAATATAAAGAATTAGATGTTCGCTGATCATTTTCCGAATGTTGTTCAGCTTGAGTAAAAACAATACCGAAAACAAAACCTTTTGTTAATGCTTCTGGAATAGGGTAGAATTGTCCACTGATTGGATCACAAATAGTTTTTCTATGCACGTCAACACGACCTTCACGAACCATTGTATCGGTGATAGAGGCTTCAACACGTACATCATCATGTAGGTAATAGAAAGCATAAAGTACACAGTTACGTTCTTTCAGTTTAGGTATATCACAACTTTTAACTCTAGGTTTTTTACGAATAGTATATTCATCTCCATCGTTTACTGTAGATTTTGAGCGTAAATTACAATGAGATGATTTACCACGTAGTCGTCCAACACCATGACAATCTAAGAATTTGATCAATTTTGATTCAGTACGACCACTGTTAGCAATAAAATCGTTTCCATTACTTAATAAATGGCCAGATGGTATGATAGGAGGTAATGTGTTATTGCGTAGTTCAGCAGTATAATTGGAATCTTTTGCACTTCGTCTTTTAATAGCTAATAAGGAATCCATACTATGAGTATATCCTTTATTTGGTAAACTATTGAGATTTCCAAAAGTCTATAAAATTATTTTGTTTTAAAAATAAAACAATTATTTGAGGTTGGGTTATTTATAACAGTTATTGGTTAGAATTAGTATAATACTAAGTGTAGTCAAACTAGTTAACGTAAATTTTCGTCATTATTAATGATTTTTTTCAACATCTATTTTAAAGTTCATACAGTAGGTGAAGAAAGGTATGAATATAAGTTAATAAGCAAACTTAGGTTTGTATAACTTATGGCGATCATTTATGAGTTTGACTTAAATACGTATTGGGACAGATCACAAACATCATTATGAATGATGATGAACGAACCATAAAACATAAATCCTCCTTTTAATTCCGTGTATTATACTTAGGTTAACCCCATTGTGCAACAGTGGTAATAAGAGCCAACTACAAACTGGGTTGGAAAAATTTATTTCAGACATTCATTTATTCAGATAGACTGTAAGAAGTGAATTATGGGCAACGGCATCCAAGTCTACTCAGTTTTATCAAACATAACTCAACACTGATAGTCAGATAGATAAAAACAAGCTAAAGAGTGATAAACAAACAAGCACATACACTCAAATAAAAGCACTCAGGTTTTTAAGTGAGTATTCGAAAAGGGCAGATATATGTGTACTGAGAAGCTGCTACAATGTGAACTAAATATCCGAGAGTCAAGTGCCTACATTGCTGAAGCTATAGGTTGGAAGCGACTGAAAGTTGGTTGGAGGCCGAATGATCTGTTCTAAAAGGTTAATCCGGATTGTCAACCGAACTTTATATTTTAAAGTTTTATGTACTGATCTATAAATGTAGTCTCCTTGATGAGTTTAAACAGTTATCAACCGTTACCTGTCACTACTGCTTTCCTCACCTCTGATTTTCAATGCTTAATACTGTTCATAATCATTGTGTGCATTATTTACCATTTTATAAATGATTTACATTGTGCTACTGCTGCACTAAATTTGTGGTCTTTCTGTGTCCATAAAGTGTGATGGTAGCAAAAACATGATCAGATTCGAATTATGTATGACAGTATAACTGTTTTAACTCCTGAGTTAGTCACTACGATTGCTAAGTCATACATCATAAGAGCATAGTTGCAGCAGATAGTGATCATTATACTTTCGCCTTGTAAAAAACCCAAGATATCTTTCCACTCGGTCCAGTCAATATATCTGAGTTCAATAGACCTACTACGTTTGAGAGTTTGATATTTTTAAGGACATCAGAAGGCTTAGCTAAAAGTCATCTTTAGCATTAGCAAACAATAATCAGTGAGAATAGTGGTTGCTTTGTTCAGTCAACTAATCAAAATCAAACTTTGTTGATTTTCATATGAAGTTAAAAGTATATGTGAGTTAATTTCTGGGTGAAATACTGTTAGTTACGTGAAACAAAGTACGAAATTAATTGTAAGTACTTTTAATCATTTCGAATAGATAGAATTCTGTTTATGATTCACTTATTCAGTTGTAAAAAAGAAATAGAAATGAACACTCGTGTAAAGAACTTCTATTCTCTAAGAATCAAATAGGTTAAAAATTTCGGCAAAGTCTAATTTATAATGAGAATGGATAAAAAAGCCAAAATGTTTATTACAACTTACTTCAGTAGCCGGAGGTTTCAATAATCCTTGTTTAATAGCATCATGAACATTTATAGAATACGACCGATTAGAATTACTATTGTTGTCTGATTGATGAAAAGTATTTGAGGCTGGATCAATTAATCCTTTCTCGAGAGCTTCTTCAAAAGTCGGTATTTCTGTTGGTAATTTTTTATCAGCTATCAAACCTCGATTTATAGCATCAGTCAATGGAATCCACTTATTTTTATACAATAAAAGACCTTTATGATCATTTATTAAACCAACTAAAATAGCTTCATCCAATGAATACAATTTTTCTGTGTTAAATTCTTTCACTATTGAATGTTCAACATTAACTAAACCCAATGTAATAGCTGCATTTAAAGACATTGGATCTGTGTATCCTGGGACTTTGATAACACATTTCGATCCGGACTGTTTAACTAGTTGACCATTATTAAATAATTGAGCTAAAGTATATGATAACTTATCTGTAGAATCTACCATAAGACTATCATGAGAGGCTTCATAATTATTGCCGTAAATTGATATATAACCTAATTGTTGTGCTGATTCAATTGGAATACTTGGTTGTACACCATGGTATGTGAAAGATTTCAAATTGATAAGACCTTTCTTAGCAGCTTCGTTTGGATCAATCCGAGTGCCGGTACGAGGGTCCAGAACATTTAAAATCTTATATAGACGAGTCTCCTTGACAGAAACCATTTCGACTGATTCATTTACTTCTGAATGAAGTGAGTGGGGTACGGATGACGTGTTACCCTAGGAGAGGAAAAAATATATGGGGGGAAAGGATGAAAGCATGTGGATGACAGTGACAGAATCTAAAAACCCAACTAGATAATCTGAGATGCCCTTGACTTAAAAATTATTTTTTTATCTACGAATGATAATCAAAGTTATAACAAGACTATGGTTGAATAGAGGTCCTCGAATAATTCCTACGAATATGAAAAAGAATGAAGATAGTTGTCTGCATGAATTTTCAGACCTCATTCAGAATTCCAATTACTTATATTTTATGGAATATATAGAGTGAGGAATTATTGAAAACATCATACGTTTATCAATGAAATGATACTATAGTTATTAGTAGTAGGAACAGAACACAGATTAGACTAGAGCATTGCTTATACCAAAAAGCTATAGTAGTACCAGGATTTATTTTCATGAAATGTCAGTTGATGTTAAGGCACATCATTTTAATGCTGTTGCATTAGATTATGGATATAACAATAACTGGGAATTTCAAATTAATGATAGCTACAAAATAGTCGTGAACTATAAGCTTTTTGTTGAACGAGACTCTGAACTCTACGATAATAACGTCCAAATAATGTGGAATAAATTAAGAGTATTTACTAGCACATAATGATGTCACGGAGATAAATGGATAAGCCTGTGTACAATACATGGTTGGAGTGCAAACTAAAATAAACTATTTCGAATTTAGATGAAGCTACAAATAATATAATTTTTCATTGTACAGCGTGGTTTTTCGCCTATTTCTTGCAAATAAACCTTTTTCATTGATTACCCAAGACCAAATAGTTACTGTCATGACCTTGAAAAGTTTACAAAAAAATATGGGTTCGGAAAAGAATTAATAATTAAGAAATATACAAGTCAATGGTCAAGATAAACTTGTTATGGTAAGATTAGAGTTATTTACTAGAGTTCAAGTCAAAACTCGTAGGTTAGATCATCGATTTATTGTGGAATAATAAAACGAATGAGGTGCAACCCCATCAACGTAGACTGGTATTTCCAATATTTTAGGAAACATCAGCCTTTAACTATACAATTACTTTCATAACGCAACATAACAAACAATAACTTAATCATGTTAGCCTGTTAGAATTAGCCACTTTGTTGCACTTCAGGTTATTTGAAGGGATCAAACTATTTATACAGTGTAATACAGCGTTTGTAAGTCAAACCTCAATGCACATATTTTCCTAGTGGTATCGTAAAAAATAACAGACATTTATTTCGCGTTAATATGTTCCTAAAAATACTTTTCAAATAGATCTTTCAGAAGCGGAGTTAACTATTACAAGCTACAATTTTACTACTTACTAATGCTTACGATAATTAGAAAGATTGATAGTCAAATTATGTCTCAAATGCTTTTGTTTTCCATTAAGTTCCAAATGAAGATTCATAAGCATATAAAAAGTAAAGATATGATAAATATCTCTCAAAAACACATCTGCCTGATCAAAATTATTATGTTTTCAAGACGATTTAGCATTGTTGGCCTAGAACGAATAAGGTTGCTTTTTACAGCTTTATGTTTTCTACTCTCATTCAAAAAGATTTAAGTGATAATATTTGACTAATCTAATTAAAATAGTAGTATTCGCATTAGCAAAAACATTGTTAGATTGTAAAATCAAATCTTAAATACCTTTGTTTCTTTGGTCTCATATTGAGGTCATTTGTTACAATGAATAGGCTTATACCTCCAAATGTAGGAAGCTTTTATGAGGACTTTTGATAAAGCTTATTCTATATATAATCCGAATAGAATTTGGAGAGTAGGGTAATTAGTATAAAAGGAAGTTTAATGTGTTTAATGTTCTCACTGAACTATTCAATCGAATCTAAAAATGAGGAATATCTGTGATAAGATTGAGAGCTGCTGTTTATTCTTCAGACTCTAGACTAATTTTATTATATCAAGACGACAGAAACAACCCTTTGGTCCTTATCTTTTAAAAATATAAGACATGTTCGTTATTCTTACTTAAATAATGAAGCATATTTTCGAACTTCATATTGTACAATTTTGATAAATGATGAAAGTATTGTATTGTATGGGCTGTTACTATGTCTAGCGCTCATAGGTTATTCTAGCCTCTGGACAGACCAATCTATTCATTCTACTCTAGCCACATTTTTACCATGTTACTTATTGGTTTAGTAATCCTGACCGTTTTTTATATGATCGTATGTGTGTGAATTTCTTATTTTACTCATTATACGTCAGTAACTTGTTTTTTGTTTGAGTATAAATATCGATTAACGCATCATTTTATTTTGCTTCGCTTTCCAATCAACGGTTTTACAAAATAAACGAATTCAGAAATTCGTTCTCGTATTTGACTTATTTAATTCCGTTATTCACTAACGCGAGTTAAGTCGATAATTAAATGTGAGGATTGGCTACATGTATAAGTCAATAACAATCGGTCATACGATCTAATTGGAGTCAGATCATGTGCCACTAAAAGATCTTTACGAAAGAGACTTCTCCGATCCGTTTTGCTTCGCTCTCTCCTCTTTTCTTCCCTCACTCCGTCTTTCTGATTGTTTGTTCAGATCAACGATCGTACGAAATATACGTATTCAAGCTTCATTCTCGTATTCCACTTAGTTAATTCCTTTATCCACTAACGCGATTTCAGTCGATAGTTATATAGGAAGAATGGTGGCATAAATATTTCAATAGCAATCAGCATAGATCGAACTGGAGTCAGATACAGGGCCACAAAAGTCTCATACAGAACGAATTCATGATGCAGATCACCGAGACCTACTTCATCCAACCACTCTCAATTTTCTTTAAATAAAAAGATTTGGTTACGCTTACGAATCATTAGTTTATTTGTTAGAAAAAACCCCGGGTAACCACGTATTTAAGTGAGCAGAGGCCTACTGTAACGATTATCACAAAGTAATCACTAGAATACCTACACCAGCAAATCAACGAAAAACGATTTGTGGAAAATTGAATAGCCATCAAAGGGAAGTCGGTTCACTAGTTGGTAAAACAATACCTACTATTGTGCAAATTGAAGATATTTGACTTTAAAAAGTAAAGAAGAATGTTGTTTTGAATAAACTATGAGCGAGAGGCTACTGTGCTACTCAGTCAGTCAGTAACAACGTGGAACTTCGTACATACGTAAATCAGTTCGAGTTGCCACACCACATTAGCACAGAGATGCAGTTGTCGATTCAAACCCCATAGTGGTAGAGGTAGTAAGAGTATAAGCAGTAATCGAAAAGATTAGTGTTTGAAGATGTTATTCAAGGAGTATAATCCAGTCAAATAAATTCGGAAAGAGAAAAAAAGAAAGGGACTTGATAAATTCAGAAGATTAGAATTTGGGAGAACACAAAGAGTGGATGCACCTGCGCCATTGCAAACAATTTTGAGCCATGTCATTCAGGGTCTCTAACCATCGGTTGCTATCATCTCACGGTCCCCGACCAGGTTGTCTACACCTACCAACATGACTCAGTCCACTTGTCAGTGACCTCATGGATTTGTGCCATTTTTTGGTCTGGCCGCCCCTAGCTTTATTCCAACTTACTTCTATACCATAAAACATCGCACGTCGAGGCAGTCGGTGGTTGAGCATACGTAACACGTGTCCCAGCCATCTCAACTGATGAAGTTTCACTACTTCATCAATTGATTTGCCATCCTTACCTAGTACCCGTTTCCCAACAACTGAGTTACTTACACGATGATCCCAGGATATACGAGCAATGTTTCGAAGACACCTATGATCAAATACTAGTAACCTACGAATATTCTCTACTCTTATCGACCATGTTTCACTGCCATAAAGTAGGACAGGACGAACTGCTACGCAGTAAACACGTCTTTTGGGTGGTAGACGGATATCTCGTCTACGCCATAAATGATGTAAGTTGGCAAAAGCTAGTCGAGCCTTCTGTATCCATGCTGAGATTTCGTCACACACCAGACCACAAGAACTGATGAGACTTCCAAGATGAGTGAAGCGATCGACACGCTCAACTACTTCACTCCTTAGCATTAGTTCGGGTGTCGATGCAACCCAACCCTGAAACAACATTTTTCACTTCGAGGGGGAGAATCGCATCCCGAACATGCTTGCATTGTTACTTAGAGTGATCAGAAGAATATGCATTTTGTCAGCGTCTTCACCAAATAGAACTGTGTCATCGACATATTATAGGTCAGAAAGTGAATCTCCCGGTAGGAGTTCAACCCCTAGAAATTTAGGTGAGGAAAGTGTTATCTCTAAAAGCACATCAACGACAAAGTTGAACAAGAATGGAGAGAGTGGACAGCCCTGACGAACACCACTTGAGGTAATCAATTCTGATGACAGTTCTGTGCTACTACTCAATAATATTCTCTTGCGGTTAACACAAAGTGGACACACAAAACTAAGCATAAACAGATAAATCCGATTAAAGAAAGGACCAACTATATTCCATTTAATACTCAATACCAGTAAGCTAAAAAATCAGTGTTATTAGTATTATTATTAACTGAGATTATATCACAGAAAATAGCTTTTATTTATGTCCCAGGTGAAAACTTATCACTTCTTTCAAATACTCATACTATTCAATTGACTGTAGTAACTTAGAATTTTATATTACACATATACTGAAATGACTCTTTTATTATAGAAATGTGAGCTAGTTGCTCCCAGAAATTTCGGACTTCCAAATATGTCATAATATTGAAGCTTTGATACATTTAAAAGAAACGTAAACATTTATTAGTTCTTACGTCTACTGTTTTGTGGACTCGACAGACTGCATTAAAACAAAGTCTCCTATATATTTAGTTATTTTTATTTTTTAGAATAGTTTCGACAACTAAACTTTATTACAAATCATAATATTTTTTCCCAGAATCATAAGATGTATTGGGTTAACTAAGTTAGACAGTAAACTTCCTAATCTGAATTGTCATTATTCAACGTATTAATGAGTATTTAGCTTTCGTTCAATTTAAACTTTATTATGTCTTATTGCAAAATAATATATCGTCACCACCTGAATGAACTGGTTATACAAATCAGACGTATCATGAATTTGGATTCTTTTATGGACTTCGAGTTTATCAAAACATAGTAGATGAAGTAGACATTGATCTCTTTGTTTCCCCAAATGTGAAACATTGAAGTTTTCTGGTGCTTGTATCTGTTTTTTATTCTGAAATTTTCACAATTTTCCGACAGATTATACACAACTTTGAGTTTGCCTCGTAATGAATCTACCAGATGAATAGACAGAATATTGCAAACAGATGCAATAGCTTGTAATACAGAACAACACTGTGTCCATGAATGTATTCTCTGATAAAAGATAACTGTTAATAATTGACGTATGACGACATGAGCTACTAATATAGATACTTAAGCACAGGTTTCATTGATTATAAACAATTCCTGAGATACAGGGTAAATTACTGTTACAATTACAGTTAACTCTCTTGACGATAAGATGTTTATTGACAATAATTAATAATATTCATAACGGATTGTAGTAATAACTAGTTAAGGACGATGGGTTTATGAAAGTGATTTGATACTCACATTACTCGATATTGATACACTGGGTCATATGTTCGAATCCAACTTACATAAGTCGATTCAAACAGGGAGGTAGCTATCATCTGAAAAGTGTAGCTTCAAGCCAAGTTTACGCGCTAACACTTAGTTAACGATTCGGGCTGCGTTAAAAACTGTAACTATACTTTACATATCATACTCATAAGCATAATGCTCACAATATTAAATGAGCGAACTACAAATCATATTTCGTTCAATTACTTATGTTTAAGTGAAGTTTAATCATCCATATTTTTGGATTAAGCATTCTATAAACAATTATCATTTTGTTAAAAAATACGATAGTAATTTGCTCTTTTGACATCTATCCTTTGAAAGGGTGGCTGTGTCGATAATCAAGATTTTATTGATAAACATCACAAGGCAACACTTTTCGTCGATCCGAATGATTAATCGAATATCCACACACAAACATGAAGTTTTCACCTTTTATTTTAAAAAAAGGCCATTATGATATAGACTATGTTCACTTATGAGAAAACTTTTTTCCTAAAGACTCTTTAATATAGGTAAACAACAACTGATATTCATGTGGAACGGTGACTTAGTGGTTCAAGGATTTACATTTAAACCAGTAGATAGCGAGTTAAATTTCGACAATAATGTAACGTTAGCTCTCACAAAAAAACCCTACAGCTCAAAATCGAGTACATAAACATGTATTAGAATAATGAGTTACATGATCATTCATGTCAACAAAAGCAATAATATTGTCAAACTGAAATAAAAAGATTATGTTAAGTAGGAGTGACAAATAAAATTTGAGTAAGAACAAAGCTTGATGAATTGATGTGTTCTATTAGGCTATGTCAGTCATAAGAATAGGTTATTTAGTGAACAACAATAAGTAGATACTACATTGTCAATACAAATGATACGAATATTCATTCTGTTTCTTCTACAGGTTAAACGTTGAGAAACGTGTAAACACATAATTTTTGACGCATTAGGCCTAAGAGCATATCCAATGTTCTATTTTCAACTACTTTAAAGGATCAACACTGTCCTCTGCTTATTTAGAATAAATGAACCATCGTTATTGACTTAATGACCGCAGAAGATAAATTATTTTAAATACTTTTTCACTATTACTGACTAATAATAAAGAGTTGAAAGACAATACTTAGAAATCAAATGGTTATAGCCACAAATAGGGCTGTTACTACGTTCTCTTGAGATGAATTTCATGAAAGAATTTATCATAGTATCCACATTAAAAATGTAGCGAATCCCCACTGCAAATGTACACTTCCTCATAATCGATCTCAGTGTAATCGAATCACGCAAATTTGGTCTTTTTTCAATCCATTGAATCGTCAAAACTCAAAAATTGGTTAATTTTTTTCGTGATTGGAAAGAAATACACAGTATATGGTTTCAACTCATTCTTCAAAACACCATTATTTCTTCCTATTAATAGGGTTAATTGAACAGAATTAAGTGAAGCAGTTTGAACTATGAGAAAAGAAGATTCATAATCATCTCTATTCAGTTATATTTTACAAAATACTGTGATTGATCATCTTTGAAAATAAATTAATGAGAGAATTGTAGAAAGTAAATAACATCATTGGGAGTATGAAAGTAACTAATAAAGTGTAAAGCAAACGACTAACAGATCAGTATTCCGCATGTTTGCTTATTTCATTATAAGTTTTCCGTTAAAATTTAAAAAATCATTTAAATCCCATTAATTTTCTCGAAGTAAAACTTCATTAGTAATATATAGTTATATTACAAAAACTCACTAGTACTTTAGAATTCAATGCTGGGAGAAAGGTCATGTTGATGACCCTCATCATATGCAAAGAACCTAATCAACAATCTAAACATAGTGTCCAATAGCTTATTTTTCATAGTAAGTTTTTGCATCTGAATCAGATTAAACAGGGGAAATAATTTACACTGCGAAAAAATATATTGAAGCTTTATACTTCTATGATAGTTTGTATCAATGAATAGCAATTTATCAATAAATTAGTTTTCTACTGCAAAATGTTGGGAAATTATTTCTATTTTTAAAGATTTCTAAACAAATTTATTTTAAATGTATAGCTTGAAATAAAAAATACTGACATATGTGTTGATAAAAAAACGTATAAAAAGTTCTAACTTACCATAAGAGATTTTTCTTTCACTAAAATATGTCCTTTTTCTATTGCTTCACTAATTGGATAGATTTGATTATGAACAGGATCTCGAAATGTACCAGTCTCCATGTCTAGTAGATGACGGCGAATCGCTTCTGATTGTGTGATCTTACGTCTACTAATTGGATCTATAACAGCTAATATATCATCAGACCGACAGCTATGTGTGAACCATGAATCATTCAGTGTTTTATTTATTAAATTATCATTATGTAAACCTGGACCAAGCCATGCTAAACGTGTTATAAAACGTTGATTAATTAAATAAGCCAAAGAAGGACGATTGATAGATAAGCCTAACAGTAATTGAGCCCCAACTGGTGATATATCAATATTTTTCATTGTCTTCATATTTGGCGACAATATTATAGACGACCCACTAACAGGATCTGTTATTTGTCCATATGTTATAGTTGAACCTAGTTGAAAATCTTCACATGGTTTTAACCAACCAGAGTTAAGTGCTTCCAAACCAGTTAGCTCACGACCATCTTCATTGAATAATCCACATCCATGAGTTAATAACTGTATAGAGTGTAAGTCACACAATCCTGAATGCTTAGCTGATTTTCTTAAAGAGATACGTTGTTGCGAAGAGCTTGAACCGTGTTGACGTGGGTCTGTGCTAGAAAGAATAATCTCCTCTTTCGATGAATCAATTAGTCCTGTACGAATAGCTTGTAATATAGGATGTTGACGATGCGTCTGATTTGATTCCTTAGCAGCCAGTAATAAACCTACAGGCGGCGGATACGATTTAGTATATATAAGTCGAATATAATTATTGTTAACTGCATCCCACAAATTCATAGGTTTATTTTCCAAAATTATAAATCCGGACGGCGTGATTAAGTTTGTATTCAGAGCTTCGACTAAAGTCAATACTTGATTGGAATGGGATTGCATAAGAATTATGGCTGGTTGATTTCCAACTATCATTCCACGTTTAATTGCTTCTGGAAACAATACGTATTGACCAGTGTGGGCATCAAGAATACCCACATTGTTTCTAGGATGTTTTTCACTCATGTTCGGAGCAGTAAACGATATTAGACCAGATAAAACAATTTCAGCTAGACAAGGAGCTTTAGTTAATAAGCCAGCAGCTTGAGCCACTTCCACACCAACCTTCGTTCGACTAGAAGATGAACTTGGTCCGAGCCAATAACCAGATACATCATCAACAAGACCTATTTGAACAGCTTCAGACAGACTGACACGTCGATAAGAGGTAGCATGGTAGTCACCCACTTGGTTTTCAACAGGTAGAATGACTTCTGGGACAGTATTGTCTAAAAGTCCATTTTTAATTGCATCTCTGATTGTTAACTCATTTTCAGTAAACACTAATGAATTATTCGATGCTTTACTTTTGCTATTAACTTTTCCAGACTTTAGTAAACTGACACGTAAACGTCGTGTATTTGGATTGTACGCACCAGCAGCTAACCAATCAGATAGACAAGGTTTCCAAGATATATCTGCTTGACCAATGCTTAAAGCTTCATACCATGTCAAGTGACAATCTCGAAATTCTACACAAATGCCACTAGATAGAATAGAAGCTAAATGATGAAAATCTGCCTCATTTATGAATCCATCTGAGTATAAATCAATAATTTTTTTGCCATATGGCATGACTACACCAGTCTTTGGGTCGATATGACGATCGACAGGGTTACGCGAAGGACTAGTCAGAAAATCTGTTACAGATGCACTATAATCACCAATTTTTATATTTCTATTTAAAGCCTGAATAGTATAGGCAGTTAACCAGCCACGATCAATAGCTTCAGACCAGGAAATGGCAAGTGAACTTCGATTTTGATGACAGTTATGCCCAACTAAATCAATTAATCCACATCGTAGTGCATCTCCTAAGCAAATAGTTTCACCGAGTCCATATGTTTCATTCTCACCAGCTAAATTAGTCACAAACCATGCACCAGTAGTTGGAAAAATTTTTGGTCCATATAATTCACGTGCTTTGGATATTGTAGTCAATGTAGCTGCTTCCCAACCAGTTGGGAGTAAACACACTGGTTGACTTCGCACATCATTAAGATATACACTATATTGGAGTCCCTTTTCCCCGATTAGTTGATTAAAATACGATAAATCTGAATGGTTTTTATCTTTTGAATTATTTGCAACTTTTAATGGTAATGTGTGATCTTTTCCATTTTCTTGATACTTTGATCGTGATACCAAGGGAGAAAAAGACGATTGAGTTTCCTTTAAACAATTGTTTAATTCATTTGGCCATCTACCTACGTAGAGTTCACGATAAGGCTTTACAAAAATTGGACCAGATAAATTCATAGAGATAGGTTCTTCGGATCGCAGAAGCTGATGGGAAAAATAATAATAAAAAGAATTACGTGAAAACGAAAGTATGTCCATCCTTTACTAATAATAGACTTGAATTTTTCGAAGTATCAACTTGTCTCCTCTACGCTCAAAATTTTTCTCATTCTCAGTACACATAAATAGTCAGATATACAACGAAAGGGTCATATGTGTGTTATTTCAGTAAGATGGGAATAAAAAGTCTGGTGTATTAAGGTAAGAGATATCTAAAAGTGTCTTACAAAATATGACGTAAAAAAAATTGACGTAAAATCTGGTACAACTAGGCACCAAAAACAGTATGCGTCATAGAAAAATACTTGTATGTAAGCTGGGATACTATCCACTAGTCCAAACCTAACCAGTTGTTTTTCTTCGGGGCCCACAACCAAAGACTATGACCTAAACGTCTAATCTGTAGGGGATAAACATCAGAAGCTGTTGCTCTATGGCAGACAGTGACCAAAAACAGATCTATACTCTCTCGGGATCCTAGAGCCCATGTATACCATTGGTTTGAAGTCAGAGTTTACCAACTCCCCTAGGTGAACGCTCCGTATCCAGTGATACAGTTTGCGTGACGAAAGACTACTTTTCGTCCTTTCAGGTTTGCGATATGAAATACGGCAATGTGATTTGATACATACTCATACGAGGTTCTGTATAATGTCATTAATGATAGACGTGTGAAATCATAAATAGTATTTGATAAACATAGTTTTACAAAAGGGTAAAAATGAGTGCATAACCAAGAAATACCATTATTTTATTTAGAATATTTCAATAAGAACACTGAAATCCGCAAATATTAGTCATCTGACAACTAAAATCAAACAGTAACAAAATATGTGCTTACGATTCTGATCAAACTATTATTATTATTATTATTATTATTATTATTATTATTATTATTATTATTATTATCCGAACAGAAAAATTACCCGATTTAAACAATTCACTATATCATATATACGACGAGAATGGGTATTAAATTGTTCATTCAGCTGATCAGTTGTTTGTAATACTCTACCCATATCGAATAAACCATATCCTGGTGACCATTGATAATCTCGTGAACCACCAGCTTTCTGAAACACACTCTCAACTAATTCACGGTAATTTTGAGTATGTTGCGCATAATTCTATAAAACAGACATTTATAAAAATGAGGAAATTAATAGAAAGAATCTCTTTTAGTCAAAATAGTCATGAATTTTAAAGTAACGCTTTGTTAGTAAGGATGATGATGAATGGTAGAAGGATTCGAAGAGACATTGAATTCATAGTGATGATTGAAAACTGATCAGTCGGTCGATCAAACACAACGTGCAAAATAATACATATTTGTATTCGTTTAAGTTGCCACACGAAATCAGAACAGAGGAACGGCAGAGTAGCATAAGTAATAGCAGTATTAGGTGTAGTACAAAAGACTAATCATAAAAGATATGAATGATGCAGAAAAATATGAATTACTGGGGTAAAAAAATTTAAGATAATTGAGAAGCTTAGCATCCAATCGAAGACAAAGAGTGAATGAATAAACGATTATAAGCTATATTAGCCGACATTTCGAACTATTAGTTATGATAATCAAGTAGACTACAAATTGGTAGTCTGCATTTACCTACACACCTCAGCTGAACACTAAATGAATTGAAGGAATAATGTTTCTGGTTAGTAGTTTAAATAAAGCTTAAAACAGAAATACTATCCTACAAATAATAGGCTTTCTGACCACCTTTAGCAACAACACAGATATGGTCCTCTTCCTCCAATTACAAAATGTTACTTCAGGATTGGCTTAGGTTATCACCTGAATCAATGATGGGGAATGAAGTAGTTAACAGCACCGAACACTTCACTTATCTTGGGGGTCTCATCAGTACTGATGATTTGGTTTTTGGTGAAATCTCGATACATATTCAGAAGGTTTGGTTAGCTTTTGTCAACTTGTGTCTCTTAAGCCGTAGATGATATATTCGTCTGTCAAGCAAATGACGAGTTTACTGAGCATCACCTTACTCCATCCTACTTCACACTGGGTGAAGCATGGCTATTACGAGTAGAGGGTATTCGATCATAGGTGTCTTCGAAGCACTGCTCGTGTATTTTGGGACCACCAAGCAAGCGATGGCTGGGTTAGGGATGGTGTATTGGGTAAAGATGGCAATTCCATTGGTAAGGCAGTAAATCATTAACTGAGGTGATTGGGACACACGTTACGTATGCTTATCCACCCCCCATCTAGACGGGCGATGTTATATATATATATATATATATATATATATATATATATATATATATAAATGTAAAATCCTGATTAAACAATGAGCATTTTCTTGATTATTGGTCATAATTATGTAAAAAACGACTCAAAATAACTCACAGTTAATGAAGATATTAAATGAGCTACTTCTTTATTCAATTGTTCCATAACATCTGAATTAACTTGCAAATCTGTTAGTAAATCATCAGACTGTTTAAGAATTTCTTTTAATAAACTAGGGTTTTGTACAGTAATCATATTTGTATCGGATGATTTTAATCCTAAAGACTGAGTCATTTCGCCAAATAATCGCATACGAGAAGAGAATTCACTTGACCACACAATAAGTTGACTGGATAACTTTTGATAGTTTGAGAAACAGACCAGTGATTCACCAAATGATTTGAGTCTGTTAACATGAAAAAAGATTCAAATAAATCACAAAATTTTGTTGGTTTTGTGAAGATCCGATAGACAGACATCTTCACACAACCTGGGTTTGATGTGTCTAACAAAAAACTTTTTACTCATGATAGATTATCTGATAATAATCGAGTTTTCTATCTCCCATCATAACGTCAACTACTAATTCATTAAATAAAGCTGTGCCGATTACAAACATCTTCACTGTAGAATTTGTAGTTAGAAAGATGGATAGTGTCATTTCGATATTTTAAAAAAACAAATGTTACAAAGATAAACGAAGCGAGATTGTCAGTCTCAAGTAGATGGACGCTTACTTTGCTTAGTGAAAAAGGTCAATACTGGCCCTTAATGAAGAATCATTACGGTTCTGTTTGTCGATAGTATTGGTTTGCTTAAGTTGTTAGATCACTGATATAACCTTAGAATTTTTTGAACTACAATTTGGACACTCATTCCAGTGATTAGGAATACCTTTAATAATAATAATAATAATAATAATAATAATAATAATAATAATAATAGTAGTAGTAGTAGTAGTAGTAGTAGTAGTAGTAGTAGTAGTAGTAGTAGTAGTAGTAATAGTAATAGTAATAATAATAATAATAATATACACCGACCGATCCAACATACCGAATATACATAAATAAGGGATTTTGATAACTAAGAAATCAAAAGGATTGTCAATTTACTAAAACTTTTGCAGTTTACATAACAAACTGATCCTAGTTAGACAATCATTGAAAACCAGGAAACGATTTGAATATCTGATTTTCAATGTGAAAACAATGAAATTCAACAATCTCTAAAACTCCCCCCTCCATATACTAATAATTAATAATAAGTAGTGAATAAATTTTGTTACAAATAACAAGGAAAATTATTGTTCTTATTGTGATTTATTTCTCAAGTGATAGGAAATTTAATTGTGGCCCAAAAAAAATTTAACATATCCTTCCCTTCAATAACTATGAAACCTCTTGTTCAATAAGAAACAATGAAGTTGAAATTTCATTATGAATGTTTTTATTATATTTTTACAAGTTTATCAGTGCTTAGATAATAATGGTTTGATTTCTTCTTTTCCATACCCTTATACTTATTAACTTACTCACTACCTTATACCTGTTACCCCTCGTGGAGAAGCACAGGCTACCACCAAAATTCTCCACCCAACTCTGTCCTGGGCAATTCTTTCCAATTGTTTTAAATTGCTATTCGTTCTTTTGATGTATGTCTCTAATTCCCGATGCAATGTGTTCATTTGTCTTTCCATTTCCCTTTTCCTTTCAGGATTTCATATTAAGGCTTGGCTCGTGTTGTAGTCTGATGATTTCTGTGATGTATGATCTATACACCCCAGTGTCTTTTCCTGAATTTCTCTTCAGATGGAAGCTGGTTTGTTCCTTCCCTCAGCAGGTTGATGGCATCCGGTTAATGGATTTGGAGTATCTTGCGTAAACAATTGGTTATCAATACCTGTGTATTTTTGATTCTGGTTGTAGTAGTTCTTCAAGATTTAGCTCTATACAGTAGAACTGTCTTGACATTCGTATTGAAGATCCTCACTTTGGTAGTGGTTGACAATTATTTTGAGTTCCATATGTTCTTCAACTCTACAAATGCTGTCCTTACTTTGCCATTTTGGTCTTTACGTTTGCATCGGATTCTTCTCGTTCTCCGATGATGCTGTCCAGGTACGTGAAAGTTTCCAAATCTTCCAGAGCTTCTCTGCCAACTGTGATTGGATTGATGCTCTCTGAGTTGTATTTGAGGATCATGCTTTTCCCTTGTGTCTGTTGAGGTCTACTGTTGCAGAGGCTGCTACTACACTGTCTGAATTAGTTGTATATGTTCCTGTATATGGGATAGAAGAGCTAGATCATTTGAGAAGTCCAAATCATCTAGCCGAATCCAAGCTGTCCATGCTACCTCTGAGATGTGGACGTCTACATAATCCAATCAACCAAGAGAAGAAGTAATATTTTAGATAAAAAGAAACAATTTAGTAGTTAAAGTTCTTGGTCATTAAATCATAGGTTGAAGGTTCAAACTCGAAAAATCTACTTATATTTGGATAACCTTTTGATGTAACTGTCCTTCAGACAAGTTATATTGCATAAAGTCAACTACTTCAAGTACTAATTGGTATATAAATTGCATTACAGAGACATTTTAGTATTTCCCACCGAACGTGCTAGCCTATGGTCAATAGGTTAAGAACTAATTATAAAGATATTACTTTTTGTTACATTGTAATAGTTGAGTTTCTTTAAAAATTATGTAGAAGTAATTCTAAGGAGATGCTTTCCATGCTCATAGTTCACTAATCATGTTTTCATCTCAATCAGAAACAATTCATAAATTTAATTCATATATACTGGTTGTTCGGATCTTCTCAATGATTTTTAAAATTGCAATTGGTCAGTCTCTTTTGGTATATGTGGATCCTGTGAGGATCGCATCGATATCACTAATTCACAAGGATTATAAGCAGATTCCACTGTTATCTATCACACATCTCTGCTTCAAAATATAAATTTTTTTGGAGAGGCGAATATTTATTTTACACATATCGACTACGTAATTTATTAAGTGTACTTTCCTCTTAAATATAATCCTAGTAACATTCATCAGTCAGTTCATAAACAATGAAGGATCTCGTGCAGATATACATCAATCTGAATTACCATATCAAATTAGCTCAGTGAGATTAACTGAACAAGATGAACAGAAAATGAACTCGAATAGTTTTAATAATAATGATAATAAGAAGGATCAAAGATAGCCAATATGTTTTGAACATAGGAATAAAATAAAACAATAAAAAGTATGAAATAATATTTAAATTCAAGATTTAGGATAAGAAAGGGAATGAATGTGTCTACATTGTCTACAATCAATTATCAGTAATATCACCTAAGGTCTAAAGACACTGATCACTGTTAACTGCACGAACTCCAAATTTCCAGTTTGTACTTTATCATATCTCATGGTTTAATACCATGTTCAGGGTTAACCACTATGCCTTAGTTTTTTTTACTTTCTCCTATACCAATCAGTATGAGGTCTGGAGATATGCAGTATGTAAGGCATCTCTAACATATTTATAAGCCTTATTAAGCTTTGGTGTACGGTCAATATATTTCTGCTTTATATTGATAAACTGCAGTTTCCTCCACTAACAAAAGAGGAAATGTTGCTTCAGTAATACAAATCGAAATGTGAATATTCAAATGTTGTCTGTAATTTAATTTACATGCCAATAAACCGACATAAATTTTATGAACCCTTAAAGATTTTAAATTTATCGGTCCAATTAATCTGTTTTGCCTATTTCTAACACTTGACCAGGCCAACAATACAGAGGGTGAAAATAAAAGTTGCGTAGGTGGCAGCTAACTGCATAGTCAATGATAACATTTACAGTTGCATGCGTACTTTTAGTTGACTAGACTGATCCAGATAAAAAAATATATGGGCGATCATCTTGATTAGATAGAGTTAATCCACTTGCCGTAGGCGTAGTGTGATCAGTCTGAATTTGTTCGATTTACCGATCATGAAAAATTCTCTAAACACAAAAAATAACTATCACACAAGCCTACAACTACATTTATGATAAACTAATTTTTATGAAAAAAGTTTATACTAGCTGACAGATATCTGTGAAACGTACAGAAGGAAACAGAATTTCAGAAATTATTCAACCAATCAAAACATAATAAGCTCACCAAGCGAATAATAAGCTCTCGATTTTATTCAAATAATTAAGTGGTTTTATGTATAGTTTATCAATCAAACATACTAATCATTTGACCGACAGAAAATATATGCACACAAATGAAGTTGATTCCTCTTGACCAATCAAAAGTCTTCGATTACTTAATTCCCGAAAAAAGCAGATAGTGTTGATGGGACGTATGAGAAAAGTAGTCATGGTCTACGGCATTTTGATTGGTGTACAGATGAGGATAGAATAAAATTGGATGTGTGTACGTATGTCCTTAAATTTATCCAATGCTCTCACCGACCCGAGTGACATTATAGCGACCGTGGTTGTTTTCACTAACCCTAACGACAAATTTTTAAAGGTATACCAGTGAATACTTAAAAAGGGTAGTGATCAGTTTAAATGTTATCGAGATATAGGCTCAATGTAGGCCGAATTTTTCCCGCCAGAATGTACAGCGATATAGTATACTGCGAGACAAGTTATCTGTCTTAAACTGGATTCCAAATTAAATCTAAACTAGTGATAGAGTAATTACTAAAGCTCACTGTTATTAAAATAGTAATCACTTCACAAATTATTGGCTTTTTATCCATCTTAAAATGATGAAAGTTGATCATACCACTTATAAATATATCAATATTATTGGAAGACAGGTTTAAGGAGTCCAAAGAGGGAAGGTGTGAGTGGGTATGAATAATAAACTTGAACCACAGGCAAGCAACAGCCTACTGTGGAAGAGGACAAACCAGCTTCTAGCTGAAGAGGAAATTAAGAAAAGACGTTGGAAGTGGATAGAACATACATTACAGGAATCACCAAACTGCATCACGAGGCAAGCGCTAACCTGGAATCCTGAAGTGAAACGGAAAAGAGGAAGGCAGAAGAACATACTGAACCGAGAATTAGAAGCAGACATGAAAAGTATGAATAGTAACTGGAAAGGATTGGATGGGGAGTGCTGGTGGGTGTCCTATGCTCCTCCACGAGGAGGTAACAATCGTAAGTAAGTAAACAGGCGTTTTACTATTATTCCGCCGACCAAACATGACCAAATGAAATGTTGAAACTATCTAGACTCCAATTTCTGAGGTTATTACGAATATAATTTATTATCTGATGTCATAGATGTCATAGTAGATATCATGAAACAAATGATTTTAATACCCCAAAAAACACTTGAAAATTACACAAATATTCACTCACTCTTGTTCAACTTCTTTAGTTGCTTCAGCTAGACGATGTTCAGAACAAGCAAGATTTGATTCTAAATAATGATTATCAGTACAAGGTGATAAATGCATCTTTAACAGGTTTGAATTTTCACATAGGTTAGCAGTATCATACTGGAGCGTTTCATTAAATGCTTCATTGGAAACCATAAATCTGGTTAATTGTTGACTAAGTAAATCTAGATCAGTTCGAACTTGAGGAAGACGCTCAGCTACCGACTAAAATAATAATAATAATAATAATAATAATAATAATAATAATAATAAAAATAATAATAATAAAGTTAGATAAATGTTTCCCTAAGCAGATCACCTAACAGTTAAAACAGTCAACATACTTATTATCCATAAATCTAATTATTTCTTGGATTTCAGCTTCGTAGTGTGATCAATAAAAGGGAAACAAATATATCTACAGTTTGAGTAAGTTCCCGGACTAGTTACCACAAGTACATATAAAACAAGCATGACTGTCTACAATTATAATAAACTATTGCAACCGGTGAAAAAATTTAATTAATTAAGACCGCTCTCATATATGGCATTTTTAATACGTCAGGCTACATGATTAAATGATTATTTTATGAGGGAAACATGTTCATTGGTAGAGTTCCTGAGTTGATGTACTTGATGAATTTAAATAAAATTGGATTATATTAACTGTTTTCACGTAAACAATTATACAGTAAACTATTACAAATTTTCATCGTGCGAAACGACACATCAGCAAACAGTATTGTTTTCAATCAGATATATTACACAATTCATCAAAGAAATAAAAAGTGCAAATTGATTGTTCAGTTTTAAATACATACGTAGTGAAGAAGAGATGCGTAAAACGTGAAGAGAAACACAGGGTAGAAAGAATTAATAAGATCGCCCATTAGATTTTCTCTGAACAACACAGCGACAGGGGTATTACAAGATCCTTTTAGATACACACACTACGTTTGTTAGCTCGAACCACTGTATCTTGTACTATATGTCAAAGACAAGGTCGAAACTTGAACGCAAACCACTTTGAATGCTTCGATTCTGTCGAGCACGTAATCACTATGGGAACAAGTGTGATAATACGCAACTGGGTATGAAATTTTAACTGATTTAGCAAACTACGAGAGATGCTTGCAAACTAATTGGCTGATTTATCTAGTAGTACGGCCATTATAGTTTGGTTGGTCTCATATTTTCATGTATCGGAATAACTATTACTGTATATTAGAGTAAAGATTGATGACGATCTAAATGAAATCAATATTATTCTCTAAAATATGTTGTTCTAATTATTTATTAATCGAAACATTTTGTGATGAATATTTGTCAAATAACTACACAAAATACCAGTAAACTTTTATGATGAAACGCACCTTTAAATCTCGATGAGCTCTTTCCACCACTGTAACACGAAGACCATCTGGATCAGTTGAACTATTCAAATCATCAAGTTGTAATAGGCCATGTACACGTACTGCACAACCTAGTAGACATAATTCACAATCCGTTAGTGTTTGATCAGTTTGTTCTAAACGGGCGATCCATGCGTCAGCATCAGCTAATCGACAAGAAAATTCATGACCAGTTAGTGCTAGTTCACTAGCTGCTCTATGTAGAGCATAAAGACTTGTACTCAACAGTGTATCTTGTTCATTCAATGATCGTGATTGTAACTGACTATTGATATGTTCTTCTAATCCTGTACATTGAGCACGAACACGAGCTAAAGCATGAGACCATTCCTATGGCATAATTGTTTTTTGTTATTAGAAGAAAAAAAGAAGTGAAACGATATGTTAAAACTAGTTAAATAATGTTCAGTTAATATTTTGTAAATGTTGTTTCCTATTTTATGGTACGATGTGGTATGCTTGATTGGTATATAAACAAAGTATGTTTGAAATATAATGATTCATAACTCCGAGGCTGTGACTTGCGTTCTAATCTCAAGTGGCTGGGCTAGACAGGGGAGCAGGCCAATCAGGGCACTAGGTCGTCCATTACATGTTTACGTGTCACTGTCCATTGTAATCGATAAATAACGCTGCGTATCCAAACCCTGCAGTCACACACTCGTTACAACAATTGGCGACGGGGTAGAGAAAATTTTGAACCCTCTAATTGGACGAGATTCAACATAATTATTTTGACCAATCAGTATCCAGATTTGTCATCGGCGTCCTTGGGAATCATTGGTTATTAATTGATTACAGTATTTCTCATTACCCTGCTGACTGAGAAAATGACTATCCTTCCCGATCAGTTGCAGCTACTACTAGATCGCCAGCAGCAGCGTTTCAGAGAAAGCCAGTTGAATGTTTTGGACAATTTACGCACGCGACTGCTAAATCTCCCATGTTTCGGAGATGTGAAGGAGATTGACGAATTAATTTCTCACTTGCATACTGAACTCGAGAATGACTGCAGGACATATGAAGATGAAAACAAAAGCCTCTATGAATCCCTTATGATCAGTAATGCAAACGAGGCAGTCGCTCATAATCCGTCCAGCGATCCGGAAATGTCCAGTCCAGAAGCATGCCCTGTTGTGGGTTCAAATCCCACTGTGCCTGAAACATGTGAGGTATCTAGCTTACAAGAAGAACCCCTCGTGCCAGAAAATGTTTCCCGTGCATCAAATAATGGTCAGAAATCCAATACGAATTTCAACGATGCTGTTTATATTGGTGACCTATTACCCACTGATGGAGTTTTGAAGAGGTCTGAAGAATGTGTTGCACAAGAATCAAACCTTAATGACCTCATGTCTGGTGTCGCTAATCCTCATCATCTACTCAGTTTTAGTGAACCCTCTACTCAATGCGCGAAATATGCTTTAAATAGAGTCAGACTAACTATTACTTGGGTATATGAGGACCCAACGTTATTTCGCGGGGGAGGACGGACGCAGAAAATTTTAAAACGCAGATATGAACTCCGGATCTTTCGAAAAAGGGGAGGTGTTAGGATAGTCGGAAAAAGAGACCAATAATTATCATGTTAAGTCCAATGGTGTCCTTGAACCTTAAATGTACATTTCTTATTGGTCGATGTTTATTTCACTTGTTAAATATTTTGTAAATGTTGTTTCCTATTTTATGGTACGATGTGGTATGCTTGGTTGGTATATAAACAAAGTATGTTTGAAATATAATGATTCATAACTCCGAGGCTGTGACTTGCGTTCTAATCTCAAGTGGCTGGGCTAGACAGGGGAGTAGGCCAATCAGGGCACTAGGTCGTCCATTACATGTTTACGTGTCACTGTCCATTGTAATCGATAAATAACGCTGCGTATCCAAACCCTGCAGTCACCCACACGTTACAACAAATAATAACTTCTTAATTGGTGAAAAATAATTTGTGTGAAGTGTTTATGGAGATTGTTGAATGTCATAGGTTATGTCACAGACTGAAATCAGTCAAATAATCAATGAAAATCGGTAGGAATTGACAACTGTTTCCCAAAATGGGGCTCGTCACAAATTTGATCATATGGTCCTAGCAAGAATGCAAGTTATGTCCATCAAGTCTCTTAGCAATTGCTTGGTCTTTAGATCATTAGTGAGAATTCAATACTTTATATTTCGAGATATTACCCAACCATCTATCAATGCTTTGGCAAATAAATGTCTTACATACACCATGGTTAAAGTTCACTGGTTATCTATCTAAGTCTAGTTCTTGAAATAAATTGGGCAAACCTAATTTAAAATGGATGAAGTTCAAAACATAATGACCAATCTACTCTCATATGTCAGTGGATAGAATATAGGGGTTAATAGCTTACAATAATATCAGAAGGGGTTTGTGGAGATTTTTAGAAATTTTCACAGATAAGTAATGAAATACGGATTACTGTTAGTTTTTTCATTATCGTTCATGCATGATTTGTTGTTACATAAAAGAAATAATGTAATTTTATCTATGTGATAGATTAAAATGAATAAATCAAATTAATTTTCACATACACAAACAACATCGGATTTCTTAGAATACGTTATTCACCAATAATAAGTAGTATAAAGTTTAACCTCTAAATTTCTTAAAGGAAGTTTTATATGGCAAGATAGCAAATCAAAAGTACAAGGTCGATTATACCATATGAATATTGGGAGAAAAACAGTTAAATATTCGAAAGACAAGAAGGATTTTCCACATGGTAATGAAAAGGAAAATCTATCCAACCTGGGTTAAATCTTACATTTAAATTATTTATCATACAACACCAATCTTGTGTAATCCTTTACTTCCAATGAAGTTCATATATTAAATAAATTTAATATAGCCTGAGAGATCCCACGCCTTTAACCACTCAATATGAAATACGTCTCAAGATATTGCGATCAACTCATCCAAAATAACATTTTCTCTAAGCACTACCTGATAGAAGGGATGTGTCAATGGTTAAGGAGTTCGACTTTCAAGCAATAAGTTATAGGTTCGAACTCCATCCCATCTACTTCAGTCTGGGGAGCAGGGTGGTATCATTACCCTGAACATTCATGGAGTAGCTGGAGACTCAGTATACGAATATGTAACTGGGAAATTAACTAACAAAAATTACCTAATCATTTAAATATTCCGTACTTTTAAAGATAATAATATATCAATGATCAACTGTATCTTCTTTCCAGTTGCTCATATATTTGGAGATTTTGAGATTCCACATGTATATAAAACATAAGCTCAATAACTTATCTACAATTTATTAATTAAATCGTGAATTAATGAATGTATGAGTAAATCATTGGACTCGCAACCAGTTGGTTGTAAGTTCAGATGGCCCTCACTCACACAAAATAGTGTAATGCAAAGAAAAATCATGTAAATTAATCTAAAATCGGTTACTGAGTGCTATCAAGTAGAATGCATGAAAACGACAGCCGTAATGCATTATGTAAACACACGGATAATTGGATAGGAATTTAATAAAGTGAATACTTTGTTTAATTATTCAAATATAATATAGAAGAGATATAGAGGAAATTCATTTATATACACAGATACTTGAAAATCAAGATAACGAGAGTTATTTTTTCTTAACAACATGGATTTACGGTATGGAGTTGTAGAGATTGTACTGACCAACAAACCGTACGTCCTGGATTCAATACACAGTGGGGTCATCGATGCGCACTTCTGAAAAAGTTTCATTTTAGGAGAAAATACCTGTTCAGTGCGTCTTGGTTTTCAATGGTTTTCTAACCTAGGTTTCCTCATGATCTCAATAACTTGAGTTTTATTTATTCATATATAATTAATTAAATAACAGAGTATTTTATAATACACATAACACAGTGAGAAGAAAAAACTCCACAAGAGAAAAGTACATAAAAACAAAATTCTTTCATTTTTCTTTATACAAAAATACTCTCATGATGAGAAATATTTAATTTAAAATTATACATTTTATTATTTTTTTTTTCCAAATTTCAAGTATATTTTTGTAACAAGATACAGATTAGTTATTTTGTAAAAAAATGTAATATGAAGTAGGTTTAATATAATTTTGCATTTAAATTATTTTAGTTCAAGTGCTTAGTACATTTCTCTTTTCCACCAAGTACATGTTTGTGTAGTTGGCTTTGAATCACGATGTGTGTTTTTTAAATGACTAGTGATATCACACAGATGACATATGTACTACATAGACAGAAATTTGAACTATTAATCTACTGATTGAAAGCCGAATGTTTTAACTGTTGTATTATTGTTTATTGTATTCAAATATAGGCTGGAAATATACAGTCAAGTGTCTTAAAAGCATTGATCATACACAATGGAACCTCTAAGTAATTACAATTACTGTGTTAATAGTTGATAAAGCTATCAATCTTCGTCGACATTTGTTATTCAGTATTCATTCAGCAAAAAGCTAATTATAAACCTCCAAGTTAAAGAAATAATTAAAGCTAATGAAAGTGGTAAAAAAAAAGACTGACCTTGTGATCTTTAATACGAACTTCCATATCTATTGATCTACCTGGTAAGGGTATTGAATTCGACTCCCTAAGACGTACTGTCAACGTATTCAACACTGTTCTTAGTTCATCGATAACTGAATAAATTTCTGATGATTTGGTCAATAAACCTTCATTACCAGTCTTGTCATCAGTAGTTTGAACACCATTCACCTGTTTAATGCAACTATTTTGAAAATCTAGAAAACGTTGCTTGAATTTCTCCACTTCTGTCGCTGGTACATTAGCTAGTTGCAATTCTAAATAATAACGTTCAGCATCACGATAAATTACCTGAATAAAAAACGTCAACATATGAAAAGGATAAACAGGTTCACTTACAATGTATTTTGGAAGAGAATTCAGTAATTTCCACTATAGTTTTTCATTAGATAATGAGATCAATTTTAAAAGAACGCTGAAAAATTTCTATTACATTAAAACACAATTATATGAACACAGAAATGAAAGCATCATTGGAAAAAATACGATTGGGAATGGCCGATTAATATGAACAGTTGAGTATGTAGTAAATTGGAATTCTTAACTAGAAAACATCAGATAACAGAATCTTCGGCTTATTTGGAGAAAAAGCAACTGCTGCACAACTTTAAGGCGAAATAACACAATTGGAATTTCACACAACAGCATGAGACAATGAGTAAATGAAAATGTACAATTAGTAATTAAGTTTATCAATACTAAATAATCCAGATTTATACTGATTCCAATAGGAGTCATGTCAACAGAGTAAATGACTTTAATTTCTAGCGATTTGGGTTGTCCTGTCGTCGATATTTTGACGCGCTGCACAAGTAAGTGGGTATCTGAACTCTGTAGCTAAGTGGATAATAGGGTGGGGTTTGAAGTAAATGGCAATGGGTTCGAGTCTCCGAGAGAATCGTGACTATAGGATGCAAGTACATCTAACTGACAAGTCCCAAATACGACGAGACAGATGTCTTGATTTCAATGATGTCCATATTCCATCTATTTTGTATAAAAGGGTTTATGACTGATTTAAACATTTGTCGTGTTAAGTATCATTCAGAATAAGATTTCATAAAATTCTACAAATACTTTAAAGAAAATCATATACAAAGTTAATTAGACAATTATGCTGTAAAATCACTTTCATTCTGAAAAATATTTAGTCTTATCAAGAAATCTGACCATCTTTTTTTGGGGGGGGGGTGAGGATTAAGGATTGTTATTAATTTTTCTGTTCTACATGAAGTATATTTTTGACTCAGCACTTGATAGTCTACATAGAAAGCACGAATTGAAAGCTTTATGAACTGATATCAATTACATAACGAATTAAAACACTAAGGGATATTAGATATATATTTTATTTTGGGATGAAACTCGATAGTAGTTTGTACTTATCAAGTCTCGCGATAAGAACAATAGCTCTCAACCAATGAATCGAATGGTCTGCACTTTTCAGTTTCATTTCAACGAAAAATGTCTACCTAGTTCCTAGCTTGGTTAATCTACTGGTTACAAGCTTTTAATTAAAACCTGAGGAAACCCATCTCAAATTAAATCATAACATAAGTACCAGATTATTGTAGAATTATTTCATAATCAGTATTTGGAATAACATAATAACACAACAACATAATAGAATAACGAATGAAAATTAAAACATGAACATCACAGCTGGATGGATATAAGTGTAAATGTGTATGTGAATTATTCTTTTCTTTAAATAAAGTTCAAATTCTTTTAGTTAAGACTTTATATGATATGAAAGATAAAGGGTTACATGCCAAAAAAAAACAACTTCGGGTTAAACATAATCATGTGGTTTTACCAATAATGGTAAGTAATGCAGAAGTGGTACATACAGAATGTGAGATATAGGAAACAGGGGAACTATTAAATAATAATAATAATAATAATAATAATAATAATAATAATAATAATAATAATAATAATAATATGTGATTCATGTGAAGATATAGTGTTATTAATTTTAAAATAATGAAATATATGAGTATCATTATATTCATTGATAATAGAAGCCAATAACAGAATGTAGGTTATTGATATAACTGAGTGAAGTGACACGATAATAACGAACGAATTACATAGAATAACGCATGAATAATCGATAACAATCGTTTTTAACTTAGTACTTTATATTTAACTGAGACATATGAATATAAAGAAAAACAATAGCTGATCTGTGATTGTGAAGAACTGTAGTTTAGTTAAATGATAAGTATTTACTTGAACGTTTAACCAATATTAAATCATAATGAAAAAAAATCGCTGCATCCTTTGCACTGATAAGTTTAACAATAAACACACTATTTTAATAGGATTGTTTATATCACATGTTCTAACAATATGACTGGAAATTTCAATGAAAGAAACTTCAATATTATTGACCAACAGCCTAAAATTACTTACTTACTTACGCCTGTTACTCCCAATGGAGCATAGGCCGCTGACCAGCATTCTCCAACCCACTCTGTCCTGGGCCTTCTTTTCTAGTTCCATCCAATTCTTGTTCATTTTTCTCATGTCTATTTCCATTTCCCGGCGTAATGTGTTCTTTGGTCTTCCTCTCCTCCTTTGGTCTTGAGGATTCCATGTGAGGGCTTGTCTTGTGACGCAGTTGGGTGCTTTCCTCAATGTGTGTCCTATCCACTTCCAGCGCTTCTTCCTGATTTCTTCCTCCGCTGTAATCTGGTTTGTTCTCTCCCACAGTACGTTGTTGCTAATAGTGTCCGACCAACGGATCTGAAGTATTTTGCGTAAACAACTATTGATAAACACCTGTATTTTCTGGATGATGGCTTTCGTAGTTCTCCAGGTTTCTGCCCCGTACAGTAGAACCGCCTTGACATTTGTATTGAAAAATCCTGACCTTGGTGTTGGTTGACAGTTGCTTTGAGTCCCAGATGTTTTTAAGTTGTAAATATGCTTCTCTTCCTTTGCCGATCCGCGCCTTCTCATCTGCATCAGATCCACCCTGTTCATCAATGATGCTGCACAAATATGTAAAGGTTTTTACATCTTCCAAATCTTCTCCGTCAATTGTGATTGGATTGGTGCATTCTGTGTTGTATCGGAGAATCCTGCTTTTCCCTTTGTGTATATTGAGACCTACTGCTGCTGAGGCTGCTGCCACACTGTTCGTCTTCTCCTGCATCTGTTGTTGCGTTTGGGATAGAAGGGCCAGATCGTCTGCGAAGTCTAGATCATCCAACTGCATCTTAGATGTCCATTGTATCCCGCGTTTCCCTTCAGATGTTGACGTCTTCATGATCCAGTCGATCACCAGGAGAAAGAGAAAGGGTGAGAGTAAGCAACCTTGTCTGACACCGGTCTTCACTTTGAACGACTTTGTCAACTGTCCTCCATGCACAATTTTGCAATGTAATCCATCATATGAACTCTGTATGATATTGACTATCTTCTGAGGCACGCCGTAGTGTCGAAGAAGTTTCCATAGTGTTGTTCTGTCCACGCTATCAAATGCCTTTTCGTAGTCAATGAAGTTGATGTAGAGTGATGAATTCCATTCAATTGATTGTTCCACAATGATCCGTAGAGTTGTGATTTGGTCTGTACACAATCTATCTTTACGGAATCCTGCCTGTTGGTCACGAAGTTGGGCGTCTACGCAGTCCTTCATCCTGTTTAACAATACCCGGTATTGAGAGAAGAGTGATGCCCCTGTAGTTATCACAGTTTCTGAGATCGCCTTTCTTCGGTATTTTGACCGGAAGTCTTTCTTTCCAGTTTGTTGATACTTGTTCCTCATCCCAAATCCTATTGAAGAGAATGTGGAGTATCCTTGCAGTTGCCGCTACGTCTGCTTTTAGTGCCTCTGCTGGGATGTTGTCCGGTCCTTCTGCTTTGCCACTCTTGATTTGCCTGATGGCCATGCTGATTTCTTCAATTGTTGGTGGGCCAACATTGATTGGGAGGTCTGTGGGTGCTGCTTCGATGTTGGGTGGGTTCAGTGGAGCTGGTCGATTCAAGAGTTCTTTGAACTGTTCTACAAACCTGTTTTGTTAGTCTTCAATGTTGGTGATTACCTCACTTTCCTTGCTTTTCACTGGTCGTTCTGGTTTGCGACGATTTCCAGAGAGTTTCTTTGTCGTGTTATACAGTTGTCTCATGTTCCCTTCTCTTGCAGCCTTTTCCGCCGTCGTTGCTAAATCTTCCACATATTTACGTTTGTCGGTTCTGATGCTCCTCTTCACTTGTTTGTTTACTTCTCTGTATTCAGCTTGTGCCTTGGCTTTTTCTGCTCTTGTTCGACTGGTATTGATTGCTGCCTTCTTGTTCCTCCTTTCTTGAATCTTATCCAGTGTATCAACAGTGATCCATTCCTTGTGATGGTGTTTCTTGTGACCCAGGACCTCATGACATGTTGAAGTGATTACCTCTTTCATCCCCTTCCAGTTGCTGTCCACAGTAGTTCCTTCTCCATTGAGTAGATCATGAAACGCCTGGAACTTGTTGCTGAGGACTATCTTGAATTTGTTGAGTTTGTTAGTATCCTGAAGAAAGGCCGTATTGAACTTTTGTGATATTGTCCGCCCCAGTGTCCAGTGCTTCTTGAGTTTCGATTTCACCTTGGCGGCCAGTAAGTGATGATCTGATGCTATATCAGCTCCTCTCTTGGTTCTCACGCCCTCTATAGTTCTCCTGAACGTTTTGTTGATGCAGATGTGGTCGATTTGGTTTTGCGTAGAGTGATCCGGTGAAGTCCATGTGGTTTTGTGTATGCGTTTATGTGGGAATATGGTGCCGCCTATGACCAGCTTATTGAAGGCACATAGGTTTGCAAATCTCTCACCATTTTCGTTTCTTTCTCCCAGTCCGTGTTGTCCCATGATGTCTTCATATCCAGTGTTAACCGTTCCAACCTTGGCATTGAAATCTCCTATCAGAATGGTCAGGTCCTTTGTTGGGCACTTCTCGATGATTGACTGCAGCCTATCGTGGAATTGATCTTTAGCGTCTTCATTGTAGTCGTTGGTAGGCGCATAGCATTGGATGATGTTCATTGAAATGTCCTCTTTCTTTGTTTTGAAGGAGGCTTTGATGATCCGTGGTCCATGAGATTCCCATCCTATAAGTGCATTTTGTGCTTGTTTGGACAGCATCAATGCAACTCCTTGTGTATGTGGAGCATTTTCTTCTTCATGGTCGGAGTATAACAGAAGCTCCCCTGAAGCTAGTCGTTGTTGTCCAACTTGCGTCCAATGTGTTTCACTGATCTCAAGCACCTCTAGGTTGTATCTCCTCATTTCTGCAGCAATTTGGAAGGCTCTCCCGGTGTCTCACATTCCATGTACCTAAATAAATGGTCGCTCTGGTTGTCAGAAGGGGCATCGGCCTCGTAACTTCCGAAGGAATTCGGCTTTCATCATGAGGCGTCATAATTCTTCTAAATGAAGACCTTCTGACTCCCGGGACAGAGTTTATAAGGTTTGAGTAATTTTTTCTGGTTAGCGTTTTTTAGCGAGTTAGTTTTCTACGGGATGGGGACGCTAATCCCATGCCAAACCCTCCTCCTTTATCCGGGCTTGGGACCGGCAGTAGCCTAAAATACTGTTGCATAAATGAGCCATTTTGTTTTAATATGATACTCGTGTTAACTGAGTACACCTATAGCCGAATAAGTGATGGTATTTTCAATGTGACTTGAAAATGAGACTTATTAATCCTATTTTCTAAACCACTGTATTGGGTTATAAGCAAAGATGGATAGTGGCTAGCAGTAGGATCCAGAACGCGCGTTTTGTCCTATTTGGGATTCATCAGCTGGATGTATCTGCATCCGAGTTGTTCATTCCGGGACTAGAGTTAAATCAATATCAAGACAATGTGTATATATGCCAATAAAATACAGATCAACTGCAGTCCAAAACACCAATAGGAAGATCCAAGTAAACAATACCAAGTGAATTTAATCTATTGAGTGTTTAGAATTTTACGAACAACGTATTTAATTATTAATCAGTGTTATATTTTGTTTTATTGGTAATTAAATGTTACGTCTAACACAAAATGACATTTCAAAGATGATAACTTTATATGAATAAAAGAGATAACGAAACGAAAGATTTTATGGTTCAAGAGAAGACATTTTATTGCCTGTATGCATAATTTCAACTTATTTTATTAATTTAAAATTATGCATACCGTACAAAGTAGCCAATACAAGTAGGTGTCAATTACGAAGCGTCCGCACATTGCAAGGAATGCAGTGATACTGAAGTATGAAAGGTCACCAACAGAGATCCATTAATTTAAAGTCAGAGTTATAATCAATTCTTAAAAATGAACCAGCTTGACATTCAGTAGTTCAAAACACCTAATTTACATATTTCTTTGTTTCGACCCGTAAATTACCGTAATTTTAATAGACCTAGTTTAATTATAAAAAAATTCCCGTTTCATTAAAAAAATGTGCCATTTTTTAATTGAATGGAATTTTTTGAAGGCAGTTTTTACTAACCAACGAATTGATGATAACAAGGGTAGCAAAAGACAATCAATATGTCTTCTTTTTGAGATTTTACAATACCTTGAACGGAATTAGACTCATGACCTTCAGGTGAGCATGTCGACATACACACAAAGGCTCTTCCATTATTATTTCTCTACAGTAGTTCAAACGTTTAGTGGTAAAAAGTATTGTTCGTGCAATTTTAACACTAGACAACTGATTACATCAAAAAATAATTTACTTGAAGGAAGCCGTTTATACATATTATACATAAGTGTTCAGTATGCACTCTTCATAGTGAAAATTAGAAACTGATCTTAGTAGAACAAGCAGAGAAAAGTAGAAAGCACTGGATAGTTGTTTAGTATTAATACAGGACACCTAAGCAGTACATATTCAAAACCTTACCTACGATCGAACTCAGAACCCTCAATTCTAAAGGCGAAAGCTTAAACTATAGGCAACTGAGTCGTCATCGAGTGGTTCACATGTCTAATTTTGATTGATCCGCAAAAAATCTTCAACTATCTACCAATGTCATTAATGCCTGACATGCGAAATGGTTAAACCCCACTAGTTATAGATTCTCATTTGAACCCCAGAGACTCTTTATCGAAATCAGTCACTTATTGAGGGCAGGGTTATTATTACCATGTGGAGATAGTTTTAATCTTGAAAAAAAAGAAGTAATAGTTAACGTGAAGTATTTCTGTAGTTTAATAATTATTGGTTCCTCCCAGATCTAATGTATACACTGATGTAAACACATGAAGTTGACCTAATTTACCACAAAACAGACTGTAAGCAATGAAACAAATTGAAGTGAGAAAGAAAAGACTAGTGGATTGAAAAAATGAATTTAAGTGATAAATTATTTTTTCTTATCAATAAAATAAGTACGTACTTTCGTAACAACAATGGCAAATAAAAAAAACACATAAACATTTATCAATATCACAACAAACCCACCCACTAATCAATAGCATCTCAGTAATCAAGAATAATAGGGAAGCAACTCGCTCACACTTCTTTCACTTTGCTTAGTGATATAATAACGAAGACAAAATGGTGGTCATGACAGGTAACAAAAAATCAGTCCGATCAAACTATACTTAGTTATGTATCGTGGTGTGAATAAATGTAGGAGGAACTAATCACTCCAAGCAATGTTATGTGGTCAGGTGGGTCTAGGTATCGTAATGGTTGGTACTCGTCAGGAAAGAGTACTCGCAATTTCCGGGAAAGTGATACTTCCTGCAAAATTTGAATCCTAATAATTTAGTATCACATGGAGACTGTAGTGTATGTAATTCCACTACTATAACCACCAAGCTACCAACACATAAATAAAAATCAGAGAAATAATGAATGGAAAGGGTGAAATTTAAAATTTCAGCAAATAATTGTTTCAACTCCAAAACGATGTTATTCAAAATATTTTTTAATGAAATAATTGACATAAAATAGTTTATCTTACTTTTCGTATATCCATTTGTTGTGGGATATTATACTGAAGTGGTGCACCATCAATAAATTTAGACATTGTTACAGTTAATAAATGTCCATGTATTCGTAAATTCAATTCAGACCAACATGTTTTAAAATGTTGTAAAGTTGTAATAATACGTTTAGCTCGATCCATTGCTTCGCTACTAGGCCAACAAGGCAGAAAACATGCCAAAGGAACAGTTAGTGTAGATCCATTAGCTGTACGAACCTATTAAATGAGAAAGAAAAGATAAACAGAGATGAATATATATAATCATAAAGGGGGAAAAATAGAATTTATTTATATATAAATACTATTTAGAAGAAACAGACTATCTTTCGTCGGTTTAGACAGTTTTATAAGTCGTAATGAATGAGAATAAAAACAGAACGATAAAAAGCAATAAAAATATTTAATTTATATATACAATAACGTATTATTGTAGTAGAGATGATTAACTACAGCAAACAAAGTTTTCATATTCAATTACTCTTTTACGATTTAATGATGTGTAACCTTTTAAGTTCCAATACTATCATAATAAAAGCAACTGTGAATTGACTGAAGCTATGGAGGTTGAATTTTCTTTTGACAAGTGATCAATTTGGATATACAGACAGTAAAACAGTTTACTGCGACAACACTAAGAAGAATTATGGTATTTTAGACTGAAATGAACATGGTAAGAGTAGCGGACACATGATTGCTTGGATTACGAAGTGACATAAAACTAAGCAGTACGGACAAAGACACCCAATAAAGTATCCGATTAAATAGTCCCCATTTCGTGACATAGGTAATATGAAGCGAAATGTATATGATCATTAATGCTGAATCAGAATATGTATTTAGTATCTTGTAGGAAAAAAGAGTAATCAGGTGAGATTATGTAATGGATTAACTTACCTGAAGCTTATGATTTTCTGGATTTTCCAATATTATGAAAAAATCACCTTTATCAAAATAACCTGTATTGTTGCCGACTGGCCAAAATGTTGGCTCTATAATACTACTAATACTTGCGTTTGCAATCGATAAATGACTTGTATTGGCGGAATTAACGATTGATACATCACCGGAATAGGATTGATTATCGGAGAAATAATCTTTCGGTTGGAATGAGCATAGAACACGTATACGTCGACCAATCAAAGTTGTTGAACTGTCTCGTGCATCCACGTGACTTGGTATTGGTGGGATAATTTCTTGACTTATGTCTACTAATTGAAATATAAATGACTCTTGACCAATTACACGAGTATGAAGTTCCTGTGGAATGGTGTTGAGAGAGAGAGAGGGAGAAAGAAGAGAAACATCTGAGATAAATGGATCAAGAGTGATAAAAAAATTATTTGTTCATTATTTTTGGGGGGAAATAAGCGTTTCATAGCAAATTCAATTTGTCTTAAAATTCGAATAATTCACTAATGAATGATACTGTATAGATGCGCTGAAAAACAACAACTAATCCCATTTAAAAAATTGAGATGATCTATTTCATTGTTTCAAATCACGATGCAACATTAGTATGAGCGCCTAATCTTATTTTTCGTCTAATACATTAGTTGCTTAGATCGTTAAACAAACAGATAATATTTAAAATCAATATTACATCAGTTTTTAATTCTGAAACCCATTTATATGGGCAAACTAATTAACTCCCCTATTGGATTATTCAGTTATTATCCTTATTTAGTATCTAAATGCAAACTATAGTAGATACAAAGAATAATTTAGATTGATAATGATAATTAAAATAATATGAAATGGTGATGACCTGAAGATCTCGCTGGAACAATAGATCATATTCATTTTATTTTCATTGCTCTCTCTCTTTCTCTCCTTAAGTAGTCCAATAATAGTGAATTTTAATATAATAATTATTTACAATTTTATATCATTTTTATTATTTGTTATGTATACAAATGAAACTGGTTGACTGATTGAAATTATTTATTTTTTTAGAATAAGTAATTTTATTTTGACACATTCACTAACGAAATCATGTTATAACTGAAGACAAGTAGTTATTAAAAATTTCTGTGGTATAATAAATACAGTTTTAAGTGATTCTCATTTCTGAATTCAATAATAAAAAATGAATATGATTAGTCAATGTACTCAATAGTACCCCTAATAAGAAAATGTACTTCAAAATAGAATTCATATCAGGAGAATATATGAGTTTGAATCAGTCATTAAACACAACAAATATAAATAATCAATTAAACACGTGAATGATGGAGTTCCGACTTGTAGGAGGTAATACAGTTGACAAAAATGGAATTGACTGGTCGTTGCGATATATTACGAACTCATTGAGACTGGTAATTTCGATATTGAAAGCCAGTTCAGTACTTCTAGATATTGAACATTACTATATGACTTAAGTGTCCTGGGTTCGACCCCACATAGGGTCATGAATGAACACTATAGAGGAGTCTCAGATTAGGATAAAACAGTAACCAAGTATTTCATGGTTTGTAATAACTTTCTAACTAAGAGAAACACTTAATTAAAACTATTATATTCAAATCTAGTCGACCAGACCTAAACACCATCCCGGTTATCTTCAGTCATACACAGCTAATCGACATAACCAATCATCAAATGTATACATTTTTAGATCCAAAAACAGTAGTAATAACTGAATATCGTTTTAAAAATGTCGTATTACGTCTATCATATCTCATTTGCAACATTTCATTTAAGCTTTTTTTGCTAAAAAAAAATGTAATTTAGATTGTTACTAAACTATTATGTTCACAACACATTCAGATCAAATTCATTGCAAAAAGTATGCTAAACTTCATTTCTATCTTTCTATTTTCTAAAATTCTTTAGATTGTAAGCAAATGATAAGAGAATTTAATAAAATTAATTCATATTATTTTACTATTCAGCATATTGTTCTATCTTTTCTAAGTTATCATGGAATATTGACTTCATTTTGTTTCGCTTGTTGAACTGTGACCAATTTACATTATACAATTAAAATAATCAATATTATTGTTTAAGTTGACATGTAATATGATTGGTGTATTGTAAACTAGACAATAAAAGGAATTAACAATGATCAACATTGTGTACAATCAATTACAAAAGTACTATAAAGGAAGAATCATGAAAATGAATGATAATCGGTTAATTTTATTGAATTAAATAGTTGGTTTTCAATGTGTCAATCAACATTAATCTTATTGATTATATAGCTTTAGAAGATAGATTAATCTTGAAGCCTGTATGGTTATTTTAAATGATGAGAAAATACCAATTTTGTAGCTATGAGAATGTGACTAAATTGTATAAAGCATTAACCTATCAACGACTTGGGTATTAGTTTGAAAAAAATATGTTTAACCTACTGTATGTTCGACAGTCGGGTGATAGCTTCAGGAATCATTTAAGGATTTTTTTTCAAGAAAATAAAACAACTAAAAAGAAGAAGCAATGGATTCCTCAACTGATCAGTTCTAAAGAAAAACGGGACGATAAATCATATATCTGGACAGATATATATATAAGCATATTTGACCTTAAACTTTTGCTTCACCAAGGGATCTATTTTTCTTAATCATTTTCAAGTTACCTAAGTCGTTAAGGGTCCCTTTAAAATGTTTTAAAACTTTATTGACTGATTGTCATTAAACTTTTAATAACCATTCTACATAACAGTGTTAGGATATGTGTTTATAATGAGGATGCATTGTTAGGCCAACATAACGTGCTCTTTCCAAACGTATATCCGAACACAGTTCACCATGATTATTGAATGATGAATGAAAATTAGTCAATAGCTTGATTGGTGAACATTTAGTCAATTTTGGTGATCGATCACCACAATAATCCTCAGTAGAAAAAGTTAGTATGGAAATAGAACAAGCAAACTTCAATCGATTCATTTAAGAAATGAGTCAAAATCCAATAATTCGTAGTAGTGATTATGATAAACTCTGTTACGTAAACAGTAATTATTCACTTCTACTCACTTGTAATTGTTTGAGAAGAGTTTCACCTTGTTCAGTTGTTGTTGCATTTAACGTTGATTCATAAAGAGAACGTAATTCTTCTAATGATGTAGTTAGTAATAATTCACATTGTTCAACATCATTGAAAAAACTTTGAAATCGTGCACTCTGTTCAATATGTGCTTCAAAACAATAGGTTAATTGTAATAACCAAGCCCAATGACGTTCCAAAGCATTTAGATAAGTCTAAAAGTGAAATATTTTAACGAAAAAACTAAGAATCGTAGAAGTAATGGTATGATAAATACGAGTGAGATTTAAGGAGGCTACTCATTTCATCTAACAATAAAAAAAGTTTTATAGTCAGCATTATTGTATCGTAAATGCCATATCATACATAATAATGAAAAAAAAAATTGAAAGAAAATCGTAACATTTCTTTTAATAACAAAACAAATTAGTAGAGTTGTAGGAAGCCTAAAAACTAATCGATAGCAAAAAACGGATACAGAGAAAATATAGATTTTGGTTAATAACGGAACCCAAGATGTGTGTTTTGTCCTATTTACAATTCGTCCGTTCAATGTATCTTCGCCAATGTATTGGTATACACAATGAAACTCGAACTTAGCACCTATCATTTCAAACGTTGATGCTTCATGCAATAAGCTATTGAGTCCCGATACCCACTAGTTTGTTGAGTGGGTGTGAAGTTATTTGTATAGATTTGTAATTTTTCATTGTTGATACATGACAAAGGAGATTGCTCAAAATTGGTTCTCAACATTAACAACGAAGAATTAAAAAGCCTTACTAACAGTGAATATAGCTTGAAAAGAACAGTTGAAAGTAAAGAGTTTGGAAGGGATAACAAAAAAAATGAAGATCTATAGAGAGAGGTAAAGAACGCATCATGTTGGCTACAGTAGTCAACAATAAGCGTTGTGTTGACTCGTGGATCACAATCAGGAAGATTACAAACCCCCCACATGGTTCGGTTAACGAGTTCATGCGTGAAGTACCTCATTCCAAAAGAAAAGTAACTATATGTATAAGTCTATGTAACAAACCATAACGAGGATACCGAATACAATGTCCAGACAAGATATTGATAATAAATATTTTAAGTTGAAAGAAATATTACTATTGAAAAAAATAAGCTGCATAAAACACAAGAAATAACTGAATAGTTGTTTTGGTTTTCAAACTAAAACTCTGTGAAATAGTACAATAATAATAATAATAATAATAATAATAATAATAATAATAATAATATGTAATGTACAACCACTGAATAAGCAGCTCTTCAGTTAACTTGTTACTCAAACTCAAATAAGCATTTCTAAACACGGATCTATACCTAAATGGTTGAAAGCCAAGTGGTTTGATCATCAAAACCACTGCACCAGTCTGTATTATCAATAATCTATTGATATTTTGGCAACAACTCAAAATTACCTCAAATGTAATATATACAAACAGACTAACGATAGACCCAGCACTTACCTGTACAAGATCAGTTACATCATAATTTTCCAATTGGATAGATGAGCCTAATACACTGAGTTCACTGTAGACAATTTCTTTTTCATGTATCTCATGCATAAGTTTCTAGAGTTCGGAAGAAATAAGCATATAAAATACTTATTATAGCCAATATATTTGTTCAATAAAAATATCTCTATACAATTATATGCAGTAGAAAAAATCAGCTAGAAATATTTTTGAAGATACGTCAGATTAATCTCTGAAATACTTAAGAAAAATAATTTAAAAATATGTTTGCATGTTCACGCCGTTATGTTTGAGGAAGAGGTTGAAATGCTAGATTTTTTTCCTAGAAAGGAAACAATAACATAAAGATGTATTAAAAAAACTAATTTTGTAGAAACTGATGAATTGGGATATATACATTGATACAGTCAGTCATAAAAACCTATCCTTCATAAGGAAGCATATGACTGATGTCTCGAGCGAAAGTATCTTTTGTTGATTGGTGAGTGGATTGAGGACGAGGATATTCGACTACACTAAATATGATTCAAATTTTATATTGTTTTCATCTTCACTTATTGACAGCATTTTAGTATATGTTAATAAACTCTCGTTTTGGTTTTTATTTGGTAATTGACAGTTAGTTGAATAATTGAATCAAATGTATTATGATTTAATGAGTCTATTGATCTAGCATTCAGGGTAATGAGCTAATGCTCAGTGCATGGTCAAGAGAAAAATATTTTTCCCCTTATAAAAATAATACGGACGGCTAACTTAGATTATATGAAAATAAATGTCTTGTGAATGGGCTTTTTCAAAAGATTTGTAACTATTTTATCAGCAACATCTAACAAAACCTCAAGATTTATCAACAGTATGTTTCTTGAAGTCATAAATATGATTTTGCAAACTGTTACATATTTTAATTAGCACAATATAGTTGAAATCTGGTTTCTACAAAAGATGATCTTATGATAAACAGCTGTTTCATTAAGCAATCTAGTGAACACATTTTACGATAGTGTGAATATGTGTAACTGAAAAGGGTTTTCCTCGTTCATTGAATTCAAATATAGAAGTTTTACAGTTGTGCAAAATTCCTAGTTGCTTTATTTATATAATTATCAATCAAAAATGTAATTGTGTATTACACTGTGATACGAATAATCAGGAAGAAAACAATGACGTTGACGATGACAGATACAATAACGACAATTAGGAGAGAATTATATATATGTATTGAACGTTCCTCGACTTCTCTAAGCAAGATAAACTTGTACTGTTGACAGTAATTGAAATTTTATCATTCAAATTCATTTTTAAAGAAGAGATCATAAATATCATAAAGTTCAAGATTCCTCGAAGAAATGGGGATAATACTGCGAAGAGTAACCATACTAAACTATAGACAGAGTTCTAGGTAGGAATGATACAATCAAAACGAACGCTCATTTAAAAATTACACCACACACTGTTTTGAATATCAAAAGCTTCAGACTACGAAGTATTATAATCAGACTGGGATAAAAAATTGAAGATGATTCTCATAAATAACCTACAGACTCATATTTTTTTCGCTTAAATATGGACTCATCAGGAAGTTAGTCCAATTAATTGTTAGCCATGTTACTATTTAGCAACTATAATGTAACTTGTGAAATATATTGGTAATCGCTCTACATATTTCTGATAGTGTAGTTTATGAGTATAAATTTTATAAGCACTACATAATTCAACTGTTTCAACCTATTCAGATCCAAACATTCTGGTGGTAATTGAAACTCAACCAAAAAAAGAAGTGAAAGTGAACAGTTTGTTCAGTATGTTATTCACTTGGAATTTCATTTAACAATTTTATATCTAATCATAAGCACCTCATATAAGAATTTATTATTTCAATACAATAATTCCAATTATAATCAATGAGATCTAAAACAAAACAAAAAAACAACGTGCATTCCTTAAATTTCAATTCTACGAAAGTCAATAATCCATACTGTCCTTACTAAAAATATTTTCAAGGGACTATGTATAAAATGCAAATAGAGATCGATAGGATCGACATTTTTAATCGAAGAGAGAGCGGAGATTAAACACTGACAACAGATAATAATAATAATAATAATAATAATAACATCAATAAAGGGGTGAATGAGGAAGAATAGGAAGAGATATGAAAAACAGTGACCTATCTGTTAGAAATGTGAATGCATTATACACAAAGAATGATTTAATAGATTTTTTAATCAGAAAATTAACGGTAATAAGTAGAAATGTTTATAAAAGCAGTTTATTTGTGTATTTTTGTTCTCTTTTTTTTACTTTTTAAAACATCTATACACATAAGTACGCATATACATGTACTTCGAATAAATAGTTAGATGAATCTATGGTGGTATAGATAAATGAAAGTGTTGCGAAAGCATAAAATAAGTAAACAATAACAGGTACCGGTAACTAATATGTTTAGTTCGGTACTTTTAACATGATTATAAAAAGCAAGTGAATTGACAATAAGCCATAAAAAGTGTTATCGGCTTTTAACTTGAAAACATTCACAACATGCTTATATTTAGATTTGACAAATAAAGATTTCATTTCTTTACATTCAATTTTTTGTGAAGTAAATCATATCACACTAAAAGACAGTTTACAATTATGACATGCCGGTGTAGCAATAATTACACACTGTACAGAGTATAAAACTACACAATTTTTTTAACCTTAAGTTAATCATCATTAAGGTGATAAATAACTTGTAGGTGTATAGACTACGATAAGAAATCGAATGGAACAATTTAATACCTAGTAAAATATAGATAATTATATTGAGAAGAAACAAACACAAACTCAACGCATTGATTGAATGACAAGATAGAAAACATACATAAAAAAGAGAATAAAATTCGGTTAGAAAGTGCTTCAGATCACAAGGTTGTATGTAACATGGATCGATCGATCGGTTCAACAATCAATTATTTCACTCATTAAACAAACATGCTTGTGCACACAGTAAAAAAAAACGTGTAAGAAGCATGAAAGCAATTGACATAAATTTATGTTTCTTTTTCATTCACGATAATTCACTTTGAACTTATAATTCAATAAATGAATACACGTTTATGCACTCGGTTTCGAGTTATACTTTTTAAAATTCTTATGAAGATTATCTCTATCAAATGGCAATTAAAAACTGAATTCGGTAGGACAGATTCTGAGCATACTAATAATCCATTGGTTGAAAGATAAATAATGTAATTAGTCTAGTGCTATTAGGTGTGTGAGTGCCTTTCACTTCCCGGTTGTCCATACTATAAAAGGGTGCTTCTTCTTGAAGTTTCTGAAAAGTAGAGGTTCCCGGAAATTGTCATTGCGATCGCGGAATTCAGGGAACAAATACTCGAAACCGGTCACGCACTATCTTTATTCGAGTAGTTCCTGGTGTGTTTTAAACGGATTACTGGTGGCAATCATATCCGTGGGGAAAAGTGAGCGTAAATTTTTTTAAAGTTGGAATTTTTTACATTTTCCTTCTTTTGTAAAGAAAACTGGATGGAAATGCAAGTTTTTCGTCCTCGTTAATTGTTAATGCTTTCTACTTAGTGGAATTTTGTGAAAAAGTTAACTTTAAGAAAAGATTATTTTAAATTAGAATGAATAATATCAAAGTTCTTTTGAGTATAATGTTGATTGACGGTGCAGAAAATGCTACCGAGTGACAATGTATTCAATATTAAGTGTGAAATGTAAAGTGATTAGACATGGACCATCGTTTTTAGCGTTGAACAAAGTGTTTCCAAGTTCCCATCGTACTGATGCTTAATGTCACGAGAACTACATCTCTTTAGCTTACAATTGAATTTGTTTTCAAACATCAATGAATAATGAACTTGATGAAATGGTATCACATAGAGTAAACATTTATGTATTCGGTTCACAATTGATAGAATAACTCTGATAAATTACACCGATTTTTAAATGTCATATGATTACTAGTCTCCATGATCACAATTATATACATATGTAAACATATGGAAATTTAATGTAAAGCAAAAAAATCGATCAATTATACAAACAACCCACTTGAAAATCAATTCGAATACGATCTAGTTCATTATGATAAATTTCAGTCCAATCTCGAGTCACCTCGAATGATTCATGTTCCCTTAGCCAAATTAATTCATTATGGGCACGTTCTACAAATTCCAATAATGACTTCGACATATTTCGACGTTTTAATGAAGCTTCCTAATAAATATTGTAAATAAATTGCGATACTTAAAATAGAAATGAGTAAAATCTAGGACAAGAGGAAAATAGCGAGGAAATTATTCAATTATAACGGATTCAACTAAATCAGTTTATGAGACAACAAAATGTCTTACTATGATACAGACATTGAAATTTCAAATTTAGCTAGTTAATTAAATAACCATGGTCATTTTTATTTTTAAAAATAATGTATAAAAAGTTATTAATTCGTTCAGAAGCTATTTTGATAGTTCAACCACAGTTAGGTTCAATAAATCTGACTCTTATAAGGTATCTTAGTAAAGATATAACAGTACTATAATAGTTATTCAATTAAATGTTATCGATTGTTCTCAGTAGTTATCAGAGTAAAAACTCATGAGTATTGTGTTTTATGATTTCGATCAAGTCCAACGTATACAGTACAGTATTCATTAAGGAGTAAGGACTACAGACATAGTCAAATATAATTCAGTAGCCAAGTGAAGAACTTTCTTACTGAATTTTATTAAAGATTTTATTAGAATGCAGTATGATCGAATTCATATATTAAAAAAATATTCGTTGGAAAATAAAATAAAACACACCATTATTACAGCTTATCTAATATTTATCTGAAGTGCCTAAGGTACGCACTCCTAATCACCGTTTATGTTAACGTACAATACTGGTCGGCATAAAATGGGGTTGGAAGAAGGCTATTGGCGGGTAAATTAAAACGTAACATTAATATATGAAGTCACTGACTATTAGACTGTGCTGCGTGCAGACCGATTAATATGAACATTAGCAGTGCTGGACCTTGAGTGATACGGTTACACAAGTGCAGATGTATATATCCTAAATCTTGCTCTTAAATCATGGGTTCCAATAATCTTTAATGATATATAGCCTTCTTTCAACCATCCACAACCAAGTTAAGTCTTAATATAAATGATATCACCAGTATTTCAGCTAATTTTTTATACATCATATCAATTTACGTTTCCTGTATTGATATAGTGAAGTAATTTGGACCGATATAAAGTTGTGTCCGGTTCTAACGTTGCTTTGACTGTCTGACTAATTCAATTCTAAATATTTATTAAATCTATCTGTATGTGTAAACATATATTGATGAGTTACCATGAATAAAGATAATTCACTGATTTACTGTTATAGCAAGAAAATAATAATCATAATAGATAAAATAGAAAATGTTTCTACCGATTACCATTAATTGTTGATAATTTTGTTCAAGTATTTGAAGTGATTCATTAAGAACTTGTTTCTCTTCTTTTGATCGTGTCGGAAGCTATTTAGGCAGAGAACAAAAATTATGTGACTAATGTAATTGATAATCGATCGGAAATGTAACACATCAAGAGTTTTAAAAAGACTAAATAGGAATTAGGTTTATCCGAAAGAATTCTAGAAAATAAATTTGTTTTCTCAAGTTCGAACCACTTAAAACATACAGGTACAAAGGTTAATAACAATATCGAAACTGAAGTAAGTGTATGATAGTAACTTAGTGGTTAAAGCACTAGACTTGCAATTTGTGAGAGTTATAGGTTTGATTGAACCCTGATACACGTATACGTAAGTTTAAAAAGCATAGTGGTGTCGTTAGCCCTAACACAGTGTTCAGCACAGAGCCAACAACATAAATCCCTATTGGATAAGTGAGTTACATTACTAGAGAGAATAAGAAGTAAAACTAACAGATAATTTTGAGATCAATTACCCACAGTGATTTGTAGTCAAATTACAATGATTAATTATGAAATATTGAATTGGAAATTAATCAAACAGACATTACTTTTCAGATAACGATACATTCGATTAACGTGAAAAGTGGGTAAAATATATACCGGTTCAAGTTACTGTACTCCATATAAACAAGCAAAAAAGAAATTGATATAAATGACTGCAAAAACATAAAAATGGACAATAAAATGAGACAGAATAGATGTGTCTGTATACAGGTATGGTCGACTTTAATCTACATAATGAAATTAGATCATGAGCTATCGGTTGTTCTCTTGGAATAAAATATGAACAATTTTTTGACACGACTGAGACTGGTAAATTCATCGATTATTTCTAGTCCTCAATCAGGCCATCCTTAATATCCTTCCAACTTCTAGGTAGTATAGCATATTGATCTTAGTAGTTTCTCAACACAAACTAAATAATTTATCGTTTAACTTGTGTGAATCTACATATTATTTACTCAGTTATCCTATTCAGAGTAAAGGCTATCTGGGACGAAGTGGTTGGGATAATCATGTCCTTGTCAGGGTGTGATGTGTAAATGGTTTAATTCTAGAATAATAAGTCAAAAAGTTAAAAAAAAGCAGAAAAAAATAAAACAAAATAAATAATTACCTTTTGTTGATTAGCTTTGCATCGATCGATTTCGTTCTTAAAGTTCAACACTTCTCGATGAAATTGTTCATGACGCCTAGTAGCTTCTTCTACGGCTGAAAAAAATGAGTACAGTAATATTAATAAGAAGTGAGACTTATTAACCAGATGCAGGTTGTTTTTACTTGACTTTAATGCTTATATTTATACGTGGGGGCATACGAAACTACTAACCGGATGCTTGAACCGAAGTAGGAGTTCGAACCCGTAGCATCGGGGATTAATGTTTATGTGGTTAAATCGTTAACTATTGTCACAAAAAGATGTGGCATTAATATCAATAAGATTGATGATAACAGTGGTTTAAAGTGTGATAAATAATTACATACGACTTACTTTGCACGAGTAATGAAACTAATTGTGTTTAATGCCATTCTCTAATTCATTAAAATAATTTCATTTGTATACGTCGGTGTATTATTACAGAAACAAGTGTTAAGGCTCTAGCGTTCCTTGTAAATGTGACAGAAATATCGACACAGCGAGGCATAGCAATTATCAACCAATGATAATACACTCAAGTCGCGTGACTCACTACTACGTCTTCTATTTGTACAAACATAATAATGACCAACCTACAAACACATAAATATACATTCAAACCCTTGTATATTTTCTTTGGCACAGTTAATACGTATTGATTTAAGGGGTTTAATCTGAAATGTTAACGTCCTTATTGAAACCAGCTAGTATCACACGTCACTAAATAGCTTTAGATATAATTTGATAAACAGATAACGATAGAAATTATAAATTAATACAGTCAGATAGCATTTAAACTCATGTGCAGAAAGAAAGTTTTTAGGCTACTACACAGAAGAAAATTAGATGGTATAAAATTGAACTGAAGATTGATGACAGCCATCAGGAAGATAGTGTTAAGCAACCAAACTTATCAGTTCTCAGAGGGTTAAGCTAACAAATCCACATAAACTTGTATCTCGCATAAATTATTTCTCCACAATTAGTTGTGTTGACCAGTTTACATATGCGTGTGAGTAAATATGAATGCATTGGAAGGAGTAAACAAGCTGTGCAGTTGAGGTTGCTGAGACACATAGCAAAAACGCCTGAAACAGTTAGTATCCTAAGGTAGAAAATTATGTTCTCTTAATATCCGAGCGTACAACGGAAACGGGTAACCGTATAGACTTAGCTTGAGATTTATCAGTAATGTTCATCAACGACGCTGCAAAGAATCGGATCCTGGTAACGCGTTGCGCAAGATACTATGGAATAACAGTATAGGTGGATTGTGGGACTATGTAAGGAATTTAATATAGTGCGATATATGTTGCACGCCGGGAAATGGAGATAGACATGAGAAAAATGTACAAGAAAAGAAGGTCCAGGACAGAGTGGGTTGGAGAATGCTGGTCGGCGGCCTATGCTCCATTAGGAGTAACAGGCGAAAGTAAGTAAGATATATGTTGGACAGTCTAACCAATCAGACAAGATAAGCTAAACTCAGATAACGAACACACTATGTCTAGATAGTGAATTAACACAATCAGGACGTATAGATGTATAAAAACTAGCAAGTTCTAGTATCGTTATTTATTTTTCTATCTTACAACTATTGATAGAATAAATCAATAACAGTAAATTGAATCACAATACAGACTATATCACAAATATTCCTAGATAATTTTGATATTATGCAATAGTGAAAAAATGCTGTTCAAGGCCTAATCATATGTAAAACTATAAATTCCAATTGTTTCTAACCATCAACACAACAGAGAAGTGGCGCGAAAAAAAATCTTACATTTTCGATTTGCTCCATAGGATGCAGTTTGTACAGTGTGAGAATGTTCCATAATCCATTGTAAGCATTGTTCGATTGGACTAATTAATTTACCTTGAATAAGGTGAGTGTTTTCCAAAATGGTACCATTTTTAAGAGATGTGAATGTAGAGTGACTCGATATGGTCATAGATGTTGAACAAACAGAACCAGAGACGACACTGAGTGGTGATAATACCGTTGAAGAAGATGTAAATTCTCGATATAAACGTTGAAGATCTAAGAATTTCTGGTGTAATGTACAAACACTGGAAAAGAATAAGAAATTTCAAAATAGTTGTAAAATTCAAGAAAGTTAATCGGAAGAATAAGAAATCATGTAATGGAAAGCTAAAATGATTAAAGATTACTTTGGATGCGGAGCCCCGAATACAAGCGTGTCAATTTGATTTTAGTCTGGACTATTCCATCAAAGCGTAATGCAACTACCCACCGATGATAGTAGGATAGGTGATATCATTTGAATGATATAGAAAATATAACAGAATCATCCTTTTGATAATTTGTAGCTGACATTAAACTATGATATAGATTAATTTCCAAATTGAACAAAAACTTCAAAAGAACTTATTTATAACTAAAAGTAATTTTGAAAGGTTACATTTACAAAAATTCCAAATGAATTGAAGAATCAACGATCAATCGACAGATTATTGGATGTCTATTCAATTTCATTTGAAGAATTCGAAACACCATTTTCTTTTTTATTTAGAGTTTTTAAATATTATATCACTGTCATGTTGTAAACTTAGACTTTATTTAATAAATCAAATAATTTTTTTACGAGAAATTAACAAATATTTCTGTTTTAATCAGGATCTTCGTATCAATAAGACTTATACAGCTCCAGATAGTAGTGAAATTAGGCTAAATCAGGTCTCATGACATGAGCATTATACCATTCAGTTATCAAGTCAGTGTGTACATTTTTAACTTAGTCTATTTATGATTTTTTTTCTAAAAAACATTTTATTCATTAGTTACCGAATAAATTGATTGTGCTGATTACAGTTTCCTACTAAAAATTTGTTTACCGAAATTAATCAGTGATAAATTTCTTTGTTTCTATAGTAAATTTATTGACATTTTTAAATTTTCATAGTTTAAGTTATTCATTTCTCTTAATTAAATATCTATTTAAAACTAAGAAGCACTGGACAGCTGTTTCATCTTGATATGAGACTCTTCCGCGATGAACATCCCTAGAACCTAGAACTATCAGTCTCGCACGAGAGTTCTAAACCTTTAGGCCACTGAGTCAGCATCCAGTGATGCAAGTGTCTAACGTCAATCAATTTGCGACATTGCGTGACCATTTTCTATCCTCTATTGTGGATAAATGTCTCACGTAGTGGTCTAAAGTTTAGGCGCTCGTGCGCTAGACTAATGGTTCTAGGTTCGATCCAGTATGAGGCGCTCGTTGCTGGAGAGTTCCATAATAGGAATAAACAGCTGCCCAATGCTTTCTGGTTTCCAATGATTGTCTAACTGAAAGGAATGAATGATTTAATTATTTATTTCAAGACGACAGATGAGGATATTCTTTCGTATCAGAGACCAAAACACCTTTAACATGTATTTATTTATTTCTATACTTCTATGCAATTATGAAATATAGTATTGGAGTTATTATTAACAACAATATAATGAGTGAAAAAGAATAAATTTAATAATCTTTACTGTTTCCATTTAAAATTATTCATTCTAAATTATGTATATTATGCATAGGTGTATGAACATAAGATTATGGTAAGGATAGTGTATAGATAGGCAAACTTAAAACGTATGTATGTAATAGAGTATATACTAATTTACTGGTAATATCATGTGACGATGATACTGATAAGCAGCGGTAACAAACACAGTATGATCAGCCATATATATATATATATATATATATATATATATATATATATATATATAATATGTTAGATAACAGGCATGCATATTTGACAATTTAACATTACATGAAATAGACTATAAAAGAAAGGAATGGGAGATATGAACGTAAGGCATAATATAAACCATTAATAAATCGGGCAAATCTCAATCGATTTGTTATAATACAGTAGGAAATCAATGGTGGATAAATGAGTTTAAATTACTGGGTTCATAAAAAGACTCGAACATTATTATTAATTGGTGTATTGAGTGAGTGAGCATATTGTTCGGTTTGGGCATTAAACAAGCCACCTTCACGTTAACCTGTACAAAACTGTTATTTCATCAATTGGGAAGTATCGAGATAATATTGTTAAACCTAAAAGTAAGTTTAGGCACAAAAATTAGAGATGGTTTATATGGTTGCGATAACCCTTGGAATTCTGGAAAATATGCTGATATTAATAGCGATTTCTGTTGGATATTTAGGTTCCTGAAAAATTTTAAAGGTCACTGGTTTGGCAAGAGTTGTTCGAATGTTTTCTAGCTTCTTTGACTGTGACTTGGATAATTATTAACATCTAATAAAATCTACAAGATATGAAATAGTAATAATGTACTACTGGAGTCTTCAGTATCAACTAAAATTTTCCAGTTGGATAAGAACATTACATGTAAATTAATATCTCTATCCTTTTGTTTAATTTGATAGACTGAAATTAATCGGTAAAAAGTCCTAAATCTTCAGAATTCATCAGCAAGGTATGTATAGAACTATAATCGAAACGTACTATTGTATGACATTCCGCTTTCACGTATCATATTTACTAATAATCTATCATAAATCAATATACACAAGTGGTTAATGATACACTTGTCTAAATGCTACAATGAACAAGGTAGTTTGACGCAATACGGACGAAGTTTTCTAAGCTGTTTATATCTAAAATCGAACAAACACAAACACACAGTGAAAGTCTAATGTATTATACATTGAAAGTAAAATTTTACATAATCACCATATACGAGTCATACTTTTATGTGAAAGCTACCAGTATTACTCATTAGCTGTTCATATGCTATGTTTGAAGAGATTACGCGTTCACCTAATCTGCGAACGGAACGAAGACACAGTGATACAATGACCAGATAAGCTAATTATTCCGAGGCGTATCAACCCTGCTGACTAGAGAGAGAAGTCCAAGTTCAGAACAGGGAAATATATTCCACAAGTAGTCAGAAGCACGAACAACAACCACAATGTCCTTGGAAAACGTTAAAAAACAGCATATTAAAAGAGACAACGAATCAATAGCATTTAAAGTACTCCCAAGTGAGAAATACTATATAGTGAAAATGAGTGCTTGTGGCGCGAAAACAAGAGATTTAAATTTTAAAATAGAATTACAAAAATAAGGCATTTACCAAGTGAGTTCTGGGGATCTAACATTACCAACATCATACGTAAAAATAAGTGGATCAAGGTTCGAAGTAGCAACACACTAGCTGAAATTCAAGTAGTTTAACTATTAAACTACTGTAATTAAAAGATTGAGATAAAAAAATATTCGATATTTTAAAATCCGGTGTTTGTACGGGTTCGGTGTGTAGAGTTGACATTTTGACATAATTTATGACCAATATACGATGTAAAACGATAAAATGGCAATCGACAATCCATTTATTTAATGTCATAATTGAGTTACATAAACAAAAATCTATACCCTTTACTGAATTACCAATTAATCATTAGCCAATACTAGTTAGAATAGTATAAATAATTTTGAACACTAAACTCAACTAATTATCATAACTTACTTTCTATAAATTTGTTCTGTTTGTATATATCGTCCAGTGCGTAAATGTTGTACTTGATTGAATAATCCATTGATTTTAGCTTCAATTTGCGTAAGTTGATCACACCAACGTCTTATTTCATTATTAGTATCGAATACATGCTGACCAGGTAGTTCAGATTTCAACTAATTTCAATATATAGATGAAATCGACAAATTAAATAGTAAATGAAACTTTGTTTATTGTTTATATATAAAACACACTAGGTTTTCTCATAAAAAAAGATTCAATTAGAGAAATAAATGAAGTGCCAAGTGTTACAATGTTGATATTTTTTTGAACTTAATATTGGTGCTTGATTATTTCACTCGTTAACTGATAAGTAATCCATTGTAGTAGTACTTTGATAAAATAAATTGTATAAAATACCATTTTATTCAGATATATATACAATGTCAGTTAACCAGTATTTCTGTAATTTAAAAATATATTTGGTTAAAAGTTTAGAGATAAGTCTCGTGAGTGAAATTATAACTCCATTTGATTAACAGCTAAGAATATGATAACAGTGTTAACGATTCACTTTAAAATATACGATTCAAACTCTACAATATTATATTGAAACTCAAGATAGAAGCATAAATACTAGGGACTGTTGATTGACTGTTTAAATTAATTTCAGATTGCAATGAGAAAACACTAGTTCGTACTTAGTGAATTATGGTGGTGAAACAGTAACTTAGTAGTTATATAATTCAGTTTTCAAGAAAACAGGTTCGATCTGCACTCCACCTGTTTTCATTTGCGAAGCCAGATAGTATGACCAGCCATCAAACCAACAGTCTGCATCAATACCAAGTATATAAATCACTACCTGATAAATGAGTAATGTTCTAGTATACATCATCGATTAGATAATGTAATTGAAAAAAAAAGATTATAATAATGAATTATATCAAAATCGAAATGAAATTGTCACTAACATGATAGTAGTTTATAATATTTGATAATTATAAAGTAAAAAAATCGTTGTCCATAATTGTTTTTACATGAAGTTAAAATGAGTCAACTTTTAGTGAACAATGATAATTTTGTATAATAAAATAAAGGGAATTTGGATCTGATTTAATTACAATAATTTTATGCATCTATGATTATAATATACTGTAAATTTTTGGATGTGTACAAAGGGATGGATGAGTGGGATAGATAAATAGGCAGATAGGTTAAGTGGAGAGATGGAAATAATAACTTTACGCTACTTCCTTGTGTTTAGCAACTGTTCACTTTAGTTCAAAAAGGTACAAAACAATTTGATTTCAGTATGGAACAAAATTGATAATTTGATCTACTGTAAATTTGCACTTATTTATTTATAGTACACGGGATCGATAGACGAAATGTGTCGGTATGAAAAATAATATGAACAATGTGAATAATAATGACGATAAAAACGAATGGAATGACCCTTAAAAAACGTTTTTAACACAATATACTCGTGATAATAAACTGGGTGAGTTAGCAAGTTATTTATAACTGGCGAATACTATGCATACAATATATATCATATATAGAGAGATAGAGAGAGGGTATATCTGACCTCAAAATACTGTACCAGAAAGCCCAATCGCATATATTTATGCATACCTCATAAGTACTAACATTCCCAAATAAAAGGAATTTTTTTAAAGCCATAGTGAAATTGAACTTATATAAAAAGAGAACAGTATTAAGGGGATATATATATATATACATATATATATATTACAAACCTCAACAACTCGCCGTTCTAAGGCAGTCAACTGTGCTTGGACTTGAATGCAATCACGTAGAGCTCGATTACCAGCCCATTGTAAACGATCTAAACGATGAGTTTCATTTCTTGCAGCCAATTCACGTTCTTGTAAAGCAATATCATATTCATCCCATAATCGGTGAATTTGTTCAATTCGAAGGAATAAATCAATTGGTAGTAAACCACGTTCAAAAGATGGCTTTTTGAAATGTAAAAAACAAAAAGCGATTAAATTAATTATAGACAAGTTAATCATGGTGAATAGAATGAATTCTTAAAAGACGTTCTAACATAGAAAAATGAATTTAGTGCCATGAGCAGCTAACATATTTATTTATTAAAGTGAAATATACATTCGTAGTTCAATTCAGAGATTTCTCTAAATGCCCCGGTACGAACAAGATTGAGGAAAGTTTACTTTTCCTTTCGAAATGCTCTCATATGGCTATACAGTTATAATCTCCGTAAGGAAATTTTTACTCAGTGGATTCACATGAGTTGGGATTAGGCAAGAATGAAAAGTGAACGTTCGGTGCCTAAACTGGATTAGTCAACACGGAAGGTTGTTCACCGAGGGGTTAGAAAACTCTGGTTTCAAACCAGTGGTTTACATAAGTTTCAGGATTCTAACAGAAAAAGTCATGCATAAACTCGTTTTTGGTCATTGAAAACCGTGAAGTAGAAGCTCTTGATGTTACTTTACTACTTTGTGAATTAGAATTTGAGGTTAAAGGTTTAGAAAATGGTACTCTAAGAAGAATAATTTTCTCGGTTTACCTGCCTGAGCAGTATCTCACCCCACACAAATTTTACTTATTACTATATCAGAGTACATAAAATACGTTTGAAGAATTTTGTACTCATTAAGTACTGCGTTATTACTTGTAAGCAGGTAACTATGAAACAAAATTCATTCATCTAGAACACTGAATTTAAAAAGCATACTACTACTACTACTGTGGTGTATGTTACTTATGTTGACAGATATAAGTAATGTAACACAATCAGAAGTGGGATGTCTGGCAGGAGAAGATTGAATTGAAGAGAACCGGAATGTAAGGAGAGGAGAACTTTAATAACAACAGCATTGAAGGAATCATGAAACATGTAAAGGATAGCTGAAGGAAGATGTGCAAATAAAGTATTTAATGTGTGGTTTTCATATTTTACGAAGGCACTCTGTAAGCTTGCATCAAACAATAAAGCATTCTTCCTTCACTGAGTTCGTCGTTCACTAAACTATTAATATCATTAATACTACTACTACTACCAATAATAATAATACTTATAACAATAATTATTACTGTTACCATTATCATGATTAGTACTATTATTATGATAATTGCAAAGCACATCAAATTGAACTGGGTTAGTTCTGTTTAAGGTTATAAAATGTATTGAAACACTAGTTTGTTGATACATTAAGTAAACAAATTTTTGAAACTGTAAATATTTAGGATATATATATCTATATATGATTTCATATGTCATTAGAATAAACGATAAGATTGTCATAATAATTATAAGTATACATATAATATATGATAATGATAACAATAATAATATATAATATTATATGTAATATAAGTAGATTATGTGTCTTGTCGAGTAATAATAATAAACATTATCATGACTTGACAAATTAATCCACATAAATTTCGTTTTATAAAACAAACTGACAAGTATAGTTCAATATAAAGAAGTTGAAAAAAAAATTAAATTTAGAAAAGTGAATATAAAGGAAATAAAACCATACAAAAGTATTGGACAAACGGATGGATTATGGTTGCACAAAGTAAATATTAAATTACTAATACTGACATTTTAAAGATGTAAGCAACATGTTTAATGTTCACAATTAAATGAAGTCAAAATTCAATATATAGTTTGTAGAATATATATCAAAATTATACAGTACTCTATAATGATTTTCAAATCGTTTTAAACTGTTTCCCTAACGTCAATCTGTCCTTACATTGTGATTTTATACACATTGTTTCCTTGATTATTTTGAGGAGAGCAAGAAGTGTGGCTTAAGCAGAATAACAAGGATTGATTTTATTTCGTTTAATTCACGTCAGTTGCTTACAATCCGTAATAGTTAAAAATTATAATTACAAAATGGGTTCAAATTACTTACATAATAGAGGTACAAAAGAGTGGTTGCACAATGAAAAACGCTAAGAATAAGTAAGAAAAAATGAGTAAAGGTCATTAAGACAAAATAAGATAATTGATCTAGAAGACAGTCAAAATAGGAAACGTAGTGATGTCATCAATTGAAACAAGCAGTTGAACAGGATTTTATGGTGTAATGAAGAAAGGTCCGTATTGCCAAGGCAGAAAAAGACGGATAATCGATTCCTTTAGGATACATGAATCATGTTTTTGACGCCTGATAGCATAATCTTCAGAAAATTTTGAAAGACATGAACTTGGATATTTATTGATCATCTTGAAAGATTTCAATGTATAAACCTGATGTCCTATGTCCAAGAGATATCGAGTGATTGTGCTATTTAAAGTGTTTCTTCCCCTCGTTTAAAAGCATAGGAAACATATTAGCTACTTTAACAGGTAAATTTGAACTCATAGACCCAGTTATTGGTAACATGAAAGATATACTTGTTGACCATTGATTGGATTATTGGACATGTTGTTTTATACAGGATTAATAGTTTGATTGCAAGATAAGTTCTGGCTAATGAAGTGTTAAGCCTCCTGATGATTATGCTTGCGAGGTATCATCTTTAAAGTTGAGATGGATAAATGTTGGCGTTTTATTGACTTTGGCCACATCCGCCTTAATGTCTTAGATTTTTTACACTTATCAATGAATTTCGGTGGGTAGCAGTTATCACTGGAGTATTTTTAAACAATTATCCATTTTTCCAGTTTGTGAGTGTTAAGTGGTGAGTTTAGTTTCTACTCTATACAATAGTATTTTAACCAGTGTTTTCTTGTAACTATAGTAGGATATTCAGGAAAATACCCCAAAAAATTATTCTGTTACGTTTAACGCTATCCTTGGGCTTGAAATGGTATTACTTTCTTATTGGTCAATATTTATTTCACGTGTTGTTTTCCTACTGGTCAATATTGTACAATGTTATTTTCTATTTTATGGTACGATGTGGACTGCTTGATTGGTATATAAACAGAGTATGCTTGAAATATAATGATTCATATCTCAGAGGCTGAGACTTGCGTTCTAGACTCAACTGGCTAGGCTAGACAGGGAAGCAGGGCCGATCAGGACTCTAGGTCGTTCTTACGTGTTTTACGCGTCTTTGGTCCGATCAATAATTCGCTGCGCTCCAATCAGCAGCATTTCGCGTTACAACAAACTAATTGGACAAAAACTACTGAAATTGAGGTATGGACCATTCTAATTGCTGTTTTGCTAAACCGAACGTTGAAAAGTCCCGTTTGCACTCCGTCGTATAGCAATTTTTAGAAAGTTGAATATATTGTTCTTTTCGTGTCCGATAGTTAAATGCCTTCTTGAAGAGTTATCCCAAAGGAATTCCATTCCGTTTGCTGTTACGAATAATTGACGTATCATAAACATACTTATAGTATTTTGTCATTTCGTTAATCGCATATTTAAACTTTGTTTTTTTAAAAAAAATAACACACAAAAACATTGGGATAATTGGAGAAAATGGACTTTCCATTGCTACACCGTCAATTTGACGGTATGTGTTGTTTAACTCAAATTGAACGTCTTTTGTGCACATATATAGCATGTAAAATGAATATTTGGTTGAATATATATTTAGTTTTTTTTAAAGTCGAAACATAAGAGTATACAAAAAAGAATAGAACAACAATGTTGATGAATCCAGACAAAACAACAAGTTGAGGTATTATTATTTAATAAAACGTTTTGGGATAAACTATGATAATACAGTGTTTGTATAATATATAAATAAACATCAAGGCTGGTTAATGATCATTTATGCACTTTGGAGTATTGTGATGAGAATATATGTAAAAAAAGTGACTATATTTCTTTAAAATTAACAGATATTGATGGTGAAGTATAGCAAACTGATTGAAGTTAGACAGCTGGATCTCAACTAATCAGTTGGAAAATAGTGAGCGTTTCACTCTGACATCTGAAGTTCCTGATTTTAATATCTAGTATCTTCGTGGACAAGAAGTTTCAAAATGTTGAGAAACCTTTGTCCAATGGTTTGGAATTCTGAATTCAATTAACTCGCGACATTTTCACTGTATGCCGATTCAGTGGTGCTCACATTGAGACCTGAAGTCCGTGCGCTTGATTCTTGATGAGGTCGTGAATGTGCGCTGTTGAGGAGACACATGTTGGGACAGAAACAACTTTCCAGTACTTTCTGGTTCTTAATGGTTATCTAATATAGAGTAATTCATGAAGTAAACCATAAAAAATGAAGTTATTATTGGTAAAAAAAAGTCCTCAGGATAAAAAGAAAGAACTATGATGAACTATTTTAATTCACATGAAGAATAACGTTTCTTTTTTACCTTTAATTCTTCATACATACGAACTAATTGTTGACGTTCTCTTTCTCTTCTTGGTCGTTCATCACGTCTATGCCGTCGTATTTCATCCATAACACGTTCTTGCATTGATTTTAAGTCTGATGGAAAATGACGATTAGCCATACGATCAGTAGTTGATCTTAACCATTGTATTAGATCACTACCTAAAATACGATAATCTGACCAAAGTGATTTTAATTCATCTGAAAGTTGATTAGAAGCACTAAGAAGTTGAAAAGTTGAATCAATTGGTCTACTAGTAGAATTTTGATCATGATATAAAGAAGGCATAGGTGGTACAATTGGTACTGGATATAATGAATGTTTTGATGAATTACATACTAGTTTATCATAAATTGAGGCTACATAAGTTATAATCGATCGTTCATCAGTTGTTTTTGCAATATCTAGAACAAAAGCAAAAGCAAGAACAAGTTTGTAAAGGTTAGATAATATTCACGTAGCTTTAATAGTTAGTGGAAATTCATCAATTTGTTGATTGGATACATAATCAATCAGTATGAAGTCTTATAAATATTCTGAAAACCAAAAGAAAACATTTAAATTTATATTGAAAAAGAAACTCAATAGGACTGGACGGCATGTATCGTTTATTTTTAAGAAAAAAAGTCATAACTATTAACAACACTTTGAAGTGTAACAAATGGATCTTGAAGTAGACTAATTCTATTGATTTGTTTAACAATTTACAGCAATGAAATACACACTGAAACATTATGAATTTGCTTAGGAAACTATCTACCTTTTAATTGTTTTAAGAAAAAAAAACGATATAGTCTGCATCTTTCTAATACATTATCAGATCATTGGTCAAAATGTCTCAGAGCCAAAACTAAATACTTATGGTTATACAATCATTTTAGTGACACACATTATTTATTTATTTTTAATAATCTATTCATATGTGAGATTGATATTGATTAGTAAAAGTATAAAAAAATCCTTTAAGATAATGAAATTAAAACTCCTACCATCTGAATCAAATAAACGAGTAACTTCAAGTTCACGTTCAGCTAAGTCAAATGTTAAATCAAGATTTTCACGGGCAGATTGACGATCAACTTGACGAAAATCAATTAAATCCGGTCTAAATTAAAACAAATAGAAATATATTAAATTATAACAATGATAGAAAACGCCATCCAGATAAATTATAAATTCAAATAAAGTGAAAACAAGAATAATAACCAGGCAAAAATGTATACTTTCAAATAATATTATAGGTAGAAGAAAATCAAATTGATCAATAATATTGATTAATAAACAGATCATAAGTGTTAGAATAAAAAAACACACTTGAGTCTTGAATAGAATTACAGTCGATATGAGATAAATATAAAACTTTCCAATAAGTCAATAAAATTCCATAAAATCGAAAAGAATGTTTTTTTTGTAATAATGAGATAATTTTACAAAAAATGAAAGCCTACGTAAGTAATAAACGTCAACCTATGACTTCGACTACCTACTGGGTTTTGTATTCCGGTATTATCTGTTTCAAATTGCACTTTCTTTATCATACACCTTAAATACATATTCTATGTAACATATTAGTATATGCTCATTATGATGCGGTTCTCACCCTCCAAATGTAAAATCTTACTTCAGGATTGGTTTGCGTCATTGCCTGAATTAGTGATAAGGAATGAAGTAAATGAGTGTGTCGACCGCATCACTTGTCTTGAGAGTCTCATCAGTACTGATGGTCTGGTAACTGACGAAATCTGGGCACAGATTCAGAAAACTTGCAAACTTGCGTCACTTTAACCGTGGCCGAGATAACCGTCTTTCAACTAAAGGACGAGTTTATTGAGCAACAGTTCGCTCCACTCTACATTACCAAAGGATGAAACCAGTCCGCAAAGTTATTGAAAACTGAATTGAGCCATGTTAATATTTGTAGACAATATGTTTAGGGTTTGCGCGCTTATCCTGGCCAATAATAAGCGGCTTATAATGAGATGGCTCGAAATCGTTTGTAACGGCGCAGACGAATCCACTCTTTGTCTCCCCCCAAATCCTGAGGTTCTAAGTTCCTCGTAACTTGGTTTGTTTGTTTTTTCGCTAATCTATATTCGTTTCGAGTCGTATCGTCGATTCTTAATCTGTCATCTTATCATTGACACTGTTACTACCCCTACTATTCTGGCATTTGGTCTGACAAATTCATCTCTGTGTTGATGGTTTATGACAAGTTGAACCGATGCACATATGTACAGGTTCTACGTTATGACTGACTGACGCGCATTTTGTTACGGTGTTGTGACGGATGACGCGACAGTTCGATTATAAGTGACCATAGAAAGATCTCTGTCTATACACGTAATAGTTTTCATGACCAATACGATAAGTTGTCGTCACAAATTATTACTAATACTATGATAATCAGTTACTAGGTAACCATTTGGTGGTATTTTTCAGTTAGTCAATCAAGAAGTAACATAGAACTTTGCACAACAGAGCATCGATTAAAGTTTATACATAATATTAACAAAATGTGAATAACACCAAAGTAGTAGAAGTATCAAAGATATTAAAATGAGTAGGTATAGACGATATGATTCTAAAACGAATGACTTTTTGGAATAAAAAACGTTTAATGTACTTTTGAAACTAGAAATAAAGGGGAAGACAAAGAGTGGATACAATTGTGTCATTGGGACTGATTCTGAGCTATGTTATCTAACGTCTCCAACTATTGGTCATGATAATAGTGAAGACTCCAATCAGACAGTCTGCATCTACGAATATGACTCAGACCAACACTCAACGACTTTATAGACTTATCCTACGTTTTTGTTTAGTCACCACCAGCTTTCTTCAGACTTATTATTAAGCTAGTCAACATCTTTGATCAAGGTAGGACGGTTGAGATTACTCAGTATATATCCCAAAAACTTCAGGTGATGAAGACTTAGAATCTGACCAACCAATGGTGTATTATTTGGTCATTAATTTGCACAGTTGCTTATTGGTTAAAATTGGAATTCATTTACTAAGTTCAGTCACAAAAGATCTATTGTACTTAATACGGAACTAAGGAGTTATGGTAGCCAGCATTCATGGTCAAGATGTGTAAGTGATCTTGCAGAGAGAAAAAAGTCTAGTCCATATTATTTAGAATAAAAAATTATAGGAATTAAAGTGAGCTAATGGAGACGTGGTTAATCATCTGTAGGACATAATGCAGAGCGACATTATACTGAGTGACTAGCATCGAGTAGACTCCCAGTAAATGTATAAAGTAAATTGTTAGTAAACAATTTTGAAGAATAACGCAGTTAGAAACAAGAATTGATTAAGATTATTATATCAAGAAAAATGTGTATTCGTAATACAGCTTAAAAGTGATTAGAACGAACGAAGTCGCTAAATCTATCTAGCATCAGAAATAAACCTTAAAGAAGGTTAAATACTAACTAAAGAGTGGTCAGAAAGATTAAAAAACATAGACATGTTTCATAACACTTACATTGCGATTAAAAAAAACCCAACATAATTGACTTCAGAATCTCTTTTAAAAATAGTACAGTGATCTATCTCAGATTTATTTACTAACACAATATTTTAAAATGCTAACCTGTAGAAGGAAGTTTAAAAAAGCCAATTGTAAGTTATTGAAGTGACTGATAATTTCCGACATACTTTTCCCAAAAATGGGATATTTATAGCCTTAAAATAAACACAAATTATAAGGAACATAAAAGTTTTAAACAAGAAATTCTATAGCAAAAAATATCACTAGTTATTTTCGTGTTTTGATAGTGTAGGATACCTTTTAGAAAATAGCGCGTTCTAATTTAGTTACATGTTTACAATGATCGATCTGAAAACCATTGAATCCTTCAAGTGTTTTGTTGATCAAAAGATAAAATATACTAAATTGGATGTAAGAGTATAGAAATATATAATTCTAGGCAAATACACTTACCTATAACGATGAATCAAGGCAAGGAATGCGCGACCATCTTTCCACGATTCAGTAAAATCTTTTATATATACACCTGGATAATTCGCTGTGACTGCTCGACACCAACTAAGTAATGTTTGTTTAGCCGCATTATCCATGGATAAATTAACACGAAGATCCGATTGTAATTTTGTCTGATTTTCAATCAATTCTGCCAACTAAATATATATTTTAGTGGATGGCAAAAAGAAACAAATGGAACAAGATAAAAATAAAGGTCAAAGTGATATGAAGAAAAATGTACGCAATGAATGTTATGATGAAACAAATAGAAGGGTTGCGCAAGATTACAGATCGATTGAAGTTAGGCATTAACACCGTTACATGCCGGGTAGGTGGTCTAGAGATTAAGGGTCTGCGCGTGAGACCGAAGTTCCTTAGTTCGAGTCCTACGTGTGGGATCGTGCACCTGCACTGCTGACGAATCCCATGCTGGGACGAAATAGCCGTCTAGTGCTTCGAGGTTTCCGATGGTGGTCTAACTCTGAGCGACTCGTGAATTCAACTGTTAAAAATACTACAATCTCCATAAATTCCCTTACTGAAAATAGATATAAGTAGGATATTAAATGGTTGTAATTTCCTTGTATTCAAGTGAAGAGTTTGCAGTACGGTTACGTACATTTTCGGTACGCCTTTCGAAGACAAACACTGCCATAAGACATGCAGATTGACAGAACTTAATGAAACCTTTAGCTCTAAAATTACGGTGTCAGCAAATATCCCTAATTCAAAAACTAGTAAAAACCTTAGATTTGAAACCAATCTACTTTCATGTTGCCAGGTCCTAACATTGAAGTTAAGATCTTGGAAACAGTCAGTCAGCTACAACGTAGGACCAGGCACATATGTGCATCGATCCAAGTTGCCATACCTCATTAGCACAACAAGATGAACACCGGATTCATAGAAGCAGTTAATTTAGTGGTGGTAATATATAAAAGAAAGATTGCATACAGGAAAAATGAATTAGTTGGTAGAAAGAAAGATATAAAGCAATTTCGATCTTATAGTTTCAGGGAAGGCAGAAAGTGTATACACCTACGCCATTGTGATCGATCCTCAGCCATGTCACCCAGAGTCTCAAACTAAAAATATCTCTGTCGTTTCATAAAAAAGGAGTGATGATGTTGAAATTTCGGGATGCAAGATAAATTTCACTCAATCTAACAGATAATTCGTTATCACTGTTCAAAGAGAAATTTGAAGTTGAACAGTCTGAGATTAATGTCTTCCGTGGTTTCTAGTTAATTAAAGGTTAATAGTTGGAGGTCCAGTGTTGATATCCGGTTCACGTTGCTACCGAATAGTGAATAACAGCAGTGTATCAGGATGCCAGTTGAACTATTCCTCAATGTTCTATCCATCGTTACAGTCACAGGTATGTATATGCATACAATTGCATATCTAATTCTGAGGATGAATCAACCACGTCCACTTAACAACAAGAACGATAAATATGTAAAGATTTTAATATTTAAAAAAAAGGGAAGATCATCTAACTCTTTGGATATTTGAATTTCTCATTATCTTATTCTCTTATTTAAGAAGGGAATATAAATAGGAATTAAAAAAGAACGAACCAGTGAAAAAAAGTACACTACGGCTATAAGGTGATTGATTTTAAGTATACCCTCTACATTTTTATCTTTTTTTGTAGAAGAAAAAATGCATTTATCTATATCGATTCCATCAATAAATCAACTAACAGAATACAGAGAGAATGAGAGGGTAAGTTACAAAGAACGTACATCTTTTTAGCTAACATGAAAATCAATAAAATTAACTTTTTAGAGGAAAATTTTAGTCAATGCATTTTTTGGTTTTGTATGCTAATAATAATGAAGACAGTAGTAGAAGAAATAAATACATACAGAGATAATTGCTTAACAGTTTATAATGAAGTAATTAGTATTAGAACAAATAATATATCGATAGTTTCATCAGTATATACATGAGTTTAGGCATTCAAATGTTCATTTGAAGGCTTAAATCAACTACTGAGTCCAACTGGCTGCAAATGGAACAAGTAAGTGGTCCTTCTCTACTATTTCACAATGACTAGCTAAAATATTATATATATATATATATATATATATATATATATATATATATATATATATATATATATATATATATATATATATATATATATATATATATATATATTCATTTGAACACGATATACAACTCAAATGAATTGTTCACACCTAAACCGTTAGCTAGGCTTCACTTAACATGCTATCCTTTCTTTTTTCATCAAGGTAAGCTCATGGATTAGTCAAAATAGCAATGGAATCAACTTCTAGTTTAGCAAGCTGTAGAAACATATAACAATAACTGAAGCGTAACATAACTAAATGACTTAAGTTATTAGGAGTATTTTTCAAAAATTCAAGTAAATTCTTACGAAATTGCATGGCTTGGTATATTTTTTATTGATATATGAATGTCAAAAAACAATATTTACCACTCTTTATTTATTGCTGTATGGTAGAATGTCATTAGTTCTATATTAACTAAAGTATATGACTAGCAATATGCAACTAAATAGAATATTTTAGGCGTTTTTTATTTTGTAATTATTCTAGACTAATTAAAATGATAGTGCAACCGTCGTCTCTAATTGTGCAAAGAGAGTGACTGATCAACTGTAATTCCAAAAGTACAAACAATATTGCGCAATGACCAGTGAAATAACTTATTTACATAACAGTTTTAGTTATTAGTATGGAAAGTTGTAGAGAGTGTAATAGTACCAGTTATGTTGATTTTTCAAAAAAAGTTCAGAAACATAAAGAAAAACAACTCTGATACACGTATAACATAGACGTTTCAACATATAATGAATGATAAACAATTAGCACATATTTAAGAAAACACAAAAAAGCTAATGTAAATGTATTTACCAATTTAGAAGGTAAAAAAGCCGATAACAATAGGTAAATTAATCCTATCAAGTAAATCACCAACTGTTTTAACTCATGAAATCATAATCCAGAAAGAAACATGTAGAGAGAGTAATAAAATATACATGAAATATATCCAAGATAATCCATATAAGATTAGAAAATAGTACACGTACTGGAATTACACTAACGTGCATACGCACATACATACACTAGCTACAAACGGACCATATGATATAGTTAACTTTTTGTGTGTACGTTTCTGTGAGGTGAAAGATTATTTCACCCTAACAACGAACATAATCGACATTTCCTCACAGATCATTTACAACAAATCGTTCACGAAATCAAAAGTAGTGAATTACAATTATGATCATATTTATGCATATACACAGACATACATATAAAACACCAATTAGAATGGTAATTTTCAAATATTAAAACCATTATGAATGTTTTCTACCATAATATGAATAATAATAATAATATCTTATACCATATTGTCTTTCCGTCGGTTTGATCGTCGCATCCATATGCATGCGTAGCTGACAGCTGAACTATGTTCCTTCCACCTCGACCACCCCCTCTCTTAATCCTAGTCAAATTGCCATAGGTTTAATATTCTGTCTTTATTAAAACATTAACCTATCTTCCTGCCATAAAATCATGATATACATAAAAAAGCCAACGCCCATGCTTATACTTATTTAATAAGTAAAAACCATAAATAAATATTCAAGTTATATCGGTTTTTAGTAGGATTATAGTAGTTATATCCACAAAAAGAGGTTGTATCAAACTTCATCATCTTATTGACTATAACAAGATCAAGTTATTTCATAAGATGTAATGTACTAATGAATAGAGTAATAACAATTTAAACACTAAAACAAATTTAGAAATGATGCAAATTATACTAAATCGATAAAAGATAATCTCAGTTACCAGTGTACACTTAATGATTGTTAAGAATGTGTATGTGAGTAGATTGACCCAAACAACATTATAAGACTTTCAAAAATGTAATAATATATTATCAGAATAATGCATCACTAAGAATTATGAACAGCTCTACTTATTTGACTTTAATATGATCACGTTTCAGGCTATACAATTTGGAACAACAACGCAATCGTTGGTACAAAATATCTTACAACAGAATTTATGGTATATACACGAATGACTCTCTACCTAGGGCTCAACAATCGAGAAGATAACTAAAGTTTTATTGCCATTTCAACAAACGGTGATACACATGGGAAACTCATGGACATTTATAAAATTTTCATCGTCATTTTTAAAATCAATCATTGAAGATGTAAGTCAATGGGTTCAGCCTCAAAACATAATAGTTGAGAAAACTAACATCAATCCAAGCTTCAGGGTATGTTGAACAAGTTGCATGAAGAAGTATGAAAGAAACGTTATTCTTGCATGTATTCTGTTATGAAGTCTTCCTACTATTATTAACACCGAGTTGAAAACTGCGGTTACTCAATAAACTAACAATCGATAGCCTATGAAAAGTTACACCCATCTTCCGTCATTCACTAATCAGAACACCAAGTAGTAACTTGTATTATTCAGGTTTCAAAACTCACGTGTCTCTATTACATAGAATACCATCATTTAGAGATTTACTGTCGAGTCCTTTACTATTTTTATCTTAAAGCAAACTTATCAATTAAAGATGAGAAAATGACAAAACCTAGATTTTGGATTAACATCTCGGGGGCTAGATGTAAATTTATATTTTATGTTAAAGTTTTAGCTATAAGGGAATGAATGCAATTAGTCAAAATTTCAAATATTGAAAGGAGATTAAAAGGTCAGTTTTTTAAGTTTGAGTTTGCCAGCACCGGTTGAAAACGTTGAGTCAGCTTAGTAGTAGAGAGGTATGTTAAGAAGGGAGTGAAAAAGGAGTAAAATTACGAATGAATTCGGAACAATCATCAATGAAACAAGCGAGATTAAGCAACCCATTGGTTAATTTCTAAATAAACTAACAATGACTATAAATTATAAGGAAGAAAGTTAAAAGATACTTGTAATCACAATAAAATCTTACTCTTCAATCCTAAAGTACGCTGAATCTAAGTTATTTGTACTGGGAACCCTAAGAAATTACCGAGAGTATCCAGAAGTTAAGAAAAGACTGAAACCATGTCGTTTGACTAACATAGAACAGAAAAATTTAAGAAACTAAGGATAACGTATCGCAATTTAATCCAGAATAATAGCACTTTTATATACGACTCTAAAACTACAGCAGACATTTTCAGTGGTATTTTTGCGAATGGTGTAGGAATCATAAGTGGCTCTGCTTCAAGAGTTATGTGAGTGACTAGCAACTCAATAAAATCTGCATCCCTCACACGCATGAAAATTAATAAGGCTATAAATACCCTTAAGCTTTCGAGAGGTCATGGAGCAGACAGGATTTCATCATTTCTCTACAAATATGGTGGTCCAGATATTGAACTTCTTTTAAAGCTGTTTACTCTCTATATGGAAACTGGTTCTTATCCTTACTGTTGGAAAACCGCGTACATCATACCACGTTACAAATCTGAAGATAAGACTGACATGAACAATTATCGGCCGATAAATATTACTCCAGTTAGCTCTAGGATTATGGGAAAAATTATAAGTGATGAACTTTCCAACTATTTACTAGCTGGAAAATTTATCAATGGTACTCAACATGGATTTCTTAAAAATCGATCTTGTATGACATGTCATTTTGACTTCTTTAATTTAGTCTTTTCTCTACGTAGCCAATAATATCTAGTTTTAGTGTTATATCTGGACATTTCTAAACCATTTGACATGGTTAGCCACCAACTTCTTATAGGTAAACTCGCATCTTATGGGGTTCAAAATCCTTTGCTTGCTTGGTTTGATTCCTTTCTCAGCAATCGACATCAAATAGTTAAAATTAACTCCTCATTGTCTAACGCTGTCCCTATTAGAAGTGGTGTAATACAAGGTAGTGTCTTAGGCCCTTTGCTCTTTTTATTGTCTATCAATGATATTTGTGAAGGTTTTTGTGTGGGTAAGCCCCTTCTATATGCAGATGATCTTAAAGTAGTAAATTCATTTTCTTCACATGAGCTGAAAAATATGCAAAATTGCTCATCATGGAGCTTAACTAGGTAGCACAATGGTGCTTAAAATGGCAACTGGAGCTTAATACGGCTAAATGTGGATGGATATGCTTCGGCGATACATCACTCAACCTAGACCTTACTATAAATGGAGAAGTGGTATATAGGTTATATACAGTAGTAGACTTAGGAGTTAGATACTCGCAAGACTTGTCGTTTACAGAACAGATATTAAAACAGACCTCTAAGTCTCAACAACAACAATAAGTCACGTATTTTAATGTACAAAGTTTGTGTTCGACCTCTTCTAAAATATTGCAGGTTTATTCTTAGCAGTGAGCGCATAAAGGATAAATTAAGGCTGAAATCAGTACAGAGACGATTTACACTTCGTATTCTTGGGGCTGATTGTACCTTAACTTATAATTCTAGATGAAATAAACTTGGGCTAGACTCTTTATGGAAGAGGAGACTCAAACTAAATCTTATCTTTTTCTTCAAACTACTTAATAAACTATCGTTTACATCCAATCACGTTATTCAATATGCAGAAATTTCTCATTATGACATCCGTAATTCCTTGGCACTAGTGAAACAAACTCATTCTAAATCATCTCTCTATATGAATTACTTTACCTGTGAATTTTCTAGACTCTGGAATAACCTACCTCAGTCTATCCGTACGATAAAATCACTCCCATTATTTGTTCGCTGCATCGATGCATACTGCTCCTCCGATAATGCATTGAATGTTCTAGCACCTGTAAGTGTATCTCATTCCACAAGTGATATTATAGGAACTTTAAATGTTTAGCCATCTTTATTAGTGCATTCCCTAAGTAAAACCACCTACTTGCTGTCATTTTATGTTAACACCGTCCCCAGCAAGTTTAACTAATTTGAATAACATCAACAGTATATTACTGTGTCACATGACACACGCATTTTGGTAGACCTGATTGACATATTTTGGTAATTACTGCTTTGTTGTTCCATGCTCTCTGTTTTCGTTTTAATTTCTCTAGTTGTAGATAATTATCATTAATTCGATCTGGCACACGAAATGACCTTAATTACACCGTTCATAAATCAACAGGCTGTTCATTTAAGAAATATTAAAAGCTCCCGGCTGATGCATTGGATCGCTGTGATACATGTACTACCTAAACAATTACTGAACTAGTATACTTAAAACTTTCTTCTATGACATGTTTGTTCTGTACATCTAATGTTACTATTTATATCAAATTGATCATGCCTGTAAACTGGCGTGAATTCTTTAATTATTTTCAGAAAGTAGAGGGAATGTGTAACAAGACTGATTTACAATGGGAAGTCAAAAATTAGAAAAAAATAGATATAGATACTGGCACAAGTATAAAAAAACCCTAAACTCAATTGTAGATGATAGCTTATTACACAGGTCCGAAACAAGGAATTTACATTTAAATTTACATTAAAACTTACTAAAGAAGCAACAATAAAACTAAATTCTCGGACAGAAAGTTAGTCGATTGAATAAGAAAACGATTTCTCCAAATAAAAAAAAAACTACTATCAAGTAGTTTAACTCTATATGGAAGAAACACTATACGCACCTGTCTACATATGTCTGATAAAAAAACACTGTTTATGTCTAATTAGTTTAAAACAGAAATTACTAAACAACTCATTTAGTTTAAGTAGACTTTTCTCTTTAAGGCTGCCATAAACAAAACGACTAAAGTATGCACGGAACTTGATAGAAATTTAAATGTTTGTTACTGTCACATCTGATAAAAGTAAATAATTGATTTTTGAAATGTATTACATCGTGATAAAACTTCGATTTCCATCGATAATAAAAAACCTGTTACAATAGTATTTCAGTTGTAATTTATCCTGTTTCATACAGATACAGAGAAAAACTAGATTTATGGTTTGACTGTTTCTAAGACTAGATATTAAGAGAGGACGTATTAAATATCAAGTAGATTATTATCGAACCGGTTATAACTCTGTCTCCATTTCTTTCACTTGTCTGGTAGACATGAAACCCACTAATTTGCCATTAAGCATATAGTTTCAATTCTTGCAATAAACATATTTTTATGTTTTATTTTCTGTCTGGAATATTCATTTGTTTTGGCTTTGAAAAACGTATCAAGTATATTTGTACCAGTTCAGAGTCAACACACATATACATCAATCTGAATATAAATATATAGCAAAGATGTCGTGGTGACAAAAGTAGAGAGCCTTTTATATGAACTGTTTCCACCACAGACACATATTAGGGTTTTAAACAAAATATTACGAGAAACTTTAACAAGTAAACATATTTAACACTTATTTGGAAAAAAAAACTGAATTTCGACGGCGGAAAAGACTACATTCAGTCACCAAGGTTTTCCGAAAACAACTTCTCTATCTTGTTCCTAATTTTTCTCCTATACTAACATTAAGGGTATGTGTAAAGACATTGCGACATATTATGCTTTAAACTGGAATATTATCTGAATTTTTGTGACGAATTAATTCCTGTTACAAAACCTTTGAAAATTAAAAAGTATTAGATAGCTGTTTCGTCCTACCATATGACGCTTTAATAGCACGCATTTACGACTCCTATTAGGGGGAGGAACTTAGAGCCTTCAGGTCACTAAATTGACATCCATTGATTTGGATAGCTAAATTCAGTCTATTTGCAATAATGTATGGTCATTTATTGCCACTGGAAACTACTGATTCACTCTCAATGTGTTTGAATTCGAACAATCATGACTTCTCACTAGCACTTCAGGAAAATTATAGCACTCATGTTCTTACTAGCCATAGAGTAATAAACCTGGATTAGTCGAATGTTTGAATTAGTCCATTAATATTTACTACAAAACATCACAGGTAATAAATAAATAATTACCAGAGAGGGGTTTTGGGGATATTATAGTAATTTAATGGTTGAATTCATGAATCGATTAAAGCTAGACCACCATGGAAAACCTGGAGGCACTGGACGGCCGTTTCGTTCCTGTATGAAACTCCTCGGCAGTGCGCATCCACGATCCCGCCTCATAAGATTCAAACTCAGAACCTATCGGTCTCGCGCGCGAACGCTTAAGCTATAGACCACTAAGCCGGCATCCAACGGTGTTAATATCTAACTTCAACCAATACACGAAATTGCGCCACCGTCCACCATTGCTACGATGGTTGAAACACTAAAAATTTAAACCAATACACTATGAAATTCTCGTATTTGTTAGTGAGACAATAAACGATAAATATACGATTGGGAACTTATTAGGCTTTAACTGAACGCTACACGGTTGGTTCTAATAATTAAGCATTCGTTGTGAGACCTAAATGTCGTGAGTTAGACCTCCGGATACATGATGGGTGTCCACTGCCGAGAGGTTCCGTACCAGGGCTAAAAGCTTGTCCAATACACTCTGGTTTCAGATGACAACCCAATTGAGACTAATTCATACGGAATACAACCTGCAAAGTAAACCAATTTCCACGACACCCTAAAAATAGCATTTATCATGCAAAAAATGAACAGCTTATTACAATAACGAATAGAAGTTGAGAGTAGACTTACTTGAAAATGTAAAATTATAATCCAAATAAGGCCTAATGTTAACTTGGGATTACCATCGACGATTTCATCTGCACGAATATTTACTATGCGAATCTATGATTTTTAAAAATTAAATGGGAGAAAACAATACATAAACAAAATGAATACAAAAACATGTTAATTTCAAAATGATAATGAAATAGTAAAAGAAGCTTATAATATAAAATTGATAGCATTTGTCTACAAAATTAAACATAAAACTTATTCTTTGAAAGTAGACTATATGCGTAGGCTACATTTTCTTGAAAATAGATGTCTTCAAAGCACTGTTCAAGTTTTTCTGAGCAACCGTGTAACCAATATGGAAGTCAGATTCAGGGTACTACTAGGGAAAGATGGGAGATCAGTTGATCAGGTTGTAGATCTCTGTTGACTAAGATAATTTATCTTATTATTTTCATGTTATCGTATGACGATTTGGGCTAATCCACATCAGCGCTAGGCTCTAACGTTGATTGCACTAATTAAAGGACTAAATAAAAATCAAGTATTTATTAAGACTCTCACTTCTATAAATATCAGTCAATCAGTCAGTAACAACGTAGAACTCGTACGTACGTACATCAGTTCGAGTTACCACACCACACAGATGCAGTGGTCGATTCAAATCCCGTAGTGGTAGAGGTAATAAGAGTATAAGCAGTAATCAGGAAAATTAGAGTTTGGAGATGTTATTTAAAGAGTATAATACAGTGAAATAAATTTGGGAAGAGGAAAAAAGAGACAAGGAGGAATAAGGAGATCAAAATTTGGGAGAACATAAAGAGTGGATGCACCTGCGCCATTGCAAACGATTTTGAGCTATGTCATTCAGGGTCTCTAACCATCAGTTTTATATGTGGAAAAAATGGATAAAGATAAGTTAATGATAATAGAAGGGCAACATATGTGGTAAAACCAAAAAAAGACAAATAAATAGGAAAACATAAATAATGAAAAAGTAGTAGTCTGTAAATAATAGGGTTTACAAAATTTGAAAGATAATGTGTAAATTTTGTTCTTAATACTGTTGCATTGACTCAATCTTTTTCTGTTTTATCCCGGCGAGAATTATGAATGGTAACTATCGAGAACTATTTATGGGCAAATATTATTATTCTTCTTAATGTATAACTAACTATTTAGTATCTAGATTATGTATATCTATACTCCTCATATTACAAGCTTTACTTTGACCTATAAATTATTATTATACGATTTACCGTTCTTGAGTTATGTCCAGTCTATTAATTAGTCTCCCACATTCACAGCCACTTTTGGCTAGATCTTGTACAAATGTTATTTTCTATTTTATGGTACGATGTGGTCTATTTGGTTTGTATATAACCTCAGTAAGTTTGAAATACATGATTTATATCACGGAAGCTGAGATTGGTGTTCTGGATTTAATAGGTACGGCTAGGCAGGAAAAAGAAACGATAAAGACTCTAGACTGTTCGTACTGTTTTACGCATCATTGATCCGGTTGATAAATCACTGTTCTCGAATGGACAGTATTATTACGTCATATATTAATAGGGCACAAGGTCACAAGTTATAACAAATTCACAATATTAGTATAACATATTTACCAAGTACAGATTTATAAACTCAGGTTAGAACAAATATAATTTATGTTAAGGTTAAAGATACTATTGCTCAGTTCCTTAAAGTAACGTAAGTGGATTAATAAGGATTGAACTTATAACCTACCCCTTATTGGTGCAATGCTCTTTACAAATATAAATTAACATTTATGGATTAAGAATATGTTGTACTTCTAGCTAAAAGAAAAATAGACCTTTTATCAACGATTTATGACATAATCAAAGGCAATAAATATAAAGGAATCTCAACTATTCTACTTGATAAAAAAGTTTATAATTCTATTCAGTAACTTAGGTCATTTACATGATTCTTATATTAAATGCATATATATATATATAACCGTATAATCGTATGTAAAATATGCAGTTAACATATGTTTTAATAAATGTGATATGGTGAGCAATAAATAAGTCTAATAATTATGACTTAATTTTCTCGGTTCATGAATGGTCTACAAAACCCATATCTAACAATCATTGACATTTTAAATGACTTTTAAACACGTTTATTTGTGTGAAATAATCTATGTATACCTAAACCATTTTGTTATATGAAGTGACTCATGTTTCATTGAAACACAAATATGCAATAATCAAGTTTAATAAAATTCAAAAAAAATCACGACTAGGATTTGGAAACCCTATGGAGTAAATATTATCCACAAACCAATGCAATTATTTCATTGAATTTTAAGTAAACTGAAAGATATAAAAACGATAAATGCATCATTATCTAGGAAATAAATTGTATTAATTGTGAGAAATAGTACATTGAATAAACTGAACCCTACCTTCATATACTAGTTAACGGAAGGAAATGATACTGAAACGACACGATGCTTTACCATTAATATCAAAGCACAGACAACAAACATTGACATTAATTCAACTGAGAAAACTTTAAGATTCTGGGATGAAAAAATTATACTTTCTAGGAATGTAGCATTTAGATCAATAAGCAATCAGTAGACAAATCTGATTATTCAGCTCATACGAAAAAATTAAATCATCTACATAGTCAGAGGTTAATCGAGCAAAAAGTCAATAGGAATGTGAAGATAAATAAAAATGGCAGAACCTATGAAGAAGCTCATTTCTATATAAAGTATAGGTTAGTGATGTCTTTAACGACGGTAAAAGCGTCACAATTAAACCATCTTGATCAGAGAAATCAATAATGCCTGTTCACCGGGAGCTTTTTGAGGACAATCATCTGGATTTGTGAGTAGTTGCCACTCATCTACACTAGTCATAGTGAATCAAACGAGCGATTACAATCAACAAAATTTATTTAATGGTTTGCCAGTTAAAATAGAAAGTTATTACCACCTATTTTCAAAAATTATCCATTAATATAGACTGAGAAATGAATACTTCGAATGTCTAGAAAGTAGTGAGAAATGTTGAATGACAACTAGAGTTATAGTGTTACCATCGAGATAGAAAGAAAAACTGAAATAAATGAAGACATCCAATTGACCTATATATATATATATATATATATATATATATTACAGTGCGCTTCAAGCACGTAGTGTAAATATGATCCAAATTCTGTTCTACACGACATTTTTGAAAATTAATGAAAAGTAAGATTTAAGATAACTTATAACTAAGTTCGTTATTTTTTTAAAAACTAAATCTGAAGGCCGGTAGATATTGAACGCAGTATTGTAATCAGTTTACGAGGTGTCATTAGCTGCCCCCAAATGCTCTAGTATGGCAGAGAATGGGGAGAGTCCGCTCTCCCTCTCGAAATGCTCTCATATGGCCACGCGTATATAGCCTCTGCCAGGGAAGTCCTACTCACTGCCCTCTTGTGGCGGGGGTGTTGTTTAAGAAAATGAGAGGACGAAAAGTGAATGTCCGGCGCTTTAACCGGATTCCAAACCAATGGTGCACATGGGCTCTAGTATCCTGAGGGAACAAATGGCTTATGAACCAGTTGTTGGTCACCGGCTTCCATGGGACTACATCTCCTTACGATGCTCCACTGCCTTGTGGATCAGACCTTCAGGTCGAAGGCTCGGGGAGTGGCCCCCTAAGAAAACCACCTGCTTCGGTTTGGGCACCCGGGCAGTATCACAGCCCTCACACATATCGAATGAGATTTGTGTGGCGTATATGTATTTGATGCCTCCTTGTACCATCATCTATGTGTTAAAATAAATAAATAAATAAATAGTGTCATTAACTGCAGTAGGTTGACAAGAATTTCGAATTAATAATATAAAGTTCAATTAAAATGCATTCCGACCTTATCATATCGATACAATTAATTAATAGGAAAAAACGAAATATCTTATATGCACCTTTCTGAAAATTACTAAACTAGTGCGAAACCAATTTTCTAATTTACAACTGGCTCTCTTGTGCTGAAGATGAATGATTAATGTCAAAACAGTAATAACAAGACAAATGTATCTTGTTCTCCATCCTCTCCTATATAATGAAATTAAATATTATCCTATAACTTTCGTTATACTTGTATATCACTTCTCTACAAATTATATTTCATATGTTTAGTATTTCACTTTCATTAGTATCATTTATATTGACTTTTGTATTCCTCATTTTGTTAATTTGACAATGAAAAAACAAATCAAAAATAGAGGAGGAAATTTACGGGCAAATTTAAAATAGAACAAAAAATTACCCCACGATATCGAAGAAAATCTAATACACGTTGAATATTTTGTATCCAATGGACACGACTTTCAATGTATTCAAGCCCCTATGAAATAAAAATAATTAATAAATTATTCAGTACAAAACAACTGTGTGGTTGAAGAAATATTTATATAAACAAGAAAGTTCATTCATTGTTGAAATATTACCGTTATCGTTTTTTTGTTCTTCTTGTTGTGAAAATTATCCCTTAAGAAAAGATAAACAATGTTGTAGGTAAGAAAGGTTACATACTACTTAATGTGCTATAAGACCATTTAGAAATGAGAATACTAAAGAAAACTTCATGAGTTATAACATAAAACCAGTTACATTTGAATGGTCGTTACTTCAGTTTCATTTTTATTGAATGTAATACAATATTCATATATAAGCTTATGAATTAAGCGATTTTGAAGTTATATCGTGTCATATAATAAATAGTCCAATAATAATAATCTAATATGAGTAGGGTTTTTGTGCTTTCATATTGTTATTAATAATGAGAATTATAATTGATCCAATGTAATAAAACTCGTGAATAAAAAAGCTATGATTGAGGTAACCGGATCGGGGTGGACATCCTACAACTGAAACTAATTAATTGTGGTAGTAAATATCAACAACGCGAAAATTTATACCCTTTTTAACGCATTCATATTTGTTGGGTTATTTAAATTCAGTAGCTTAGTGTATAACACGTTAGTTGAAGTGAATTTCAGTGTGAACATCAACATTAGGATACAAGTACATCCAACTCACATGTTTTGCTAATACGATCAAACGTGTATCTTGAATTTCACTGTAAGCCATATACCAAATATATTTGAACACGTAAGTGTTTAGACCTAAATAAATACCTCTTTATAAAAAACAGCCCCCAAATACCCTGGTAAGGCCGAGAGTGGGGAGAGTTTGAAAACCCTCATCCCAAACCAATGGTGCACATGGACTCCAGGATTCTGAGGGAACAAATTGTGTATGAACCAATTATTGGTCACTGGCTACCATGGGACCGCATCTCCTGAAGTCGCTCCACTGCCTTATGGACCAGATATTTAGGTCAAAAGATCCGAGTGAGTCCCCCTCTAAGTAAACCACCTGCTTCGCTCTGGGGACCCGGGCAGTATCACAACCCACACACAAATCAGGTGGCTTGTGTGGCGCACATGTATTCGGTGCCCCTTTGTACTAATATTTATGTGTTCAAATAAATAAATAATAAATAGTAATTATGTTAGTTAAACAACCAGTATTTAAAATTTGCTGATCTATATATTTAATAGTTTAAATTCTTTTTAACTGGAGACAGAAACCATGGTTAGCTAGAACTTATGTATGTTATTATTTTAGTGATGCACGAAGTATCACATGGTTTTAACTCATATTCCATATCTTAGACACCAGAAAAGTATTGATTGAAATCAATAGCTTGGAATGCAGAAGAATAGTTGGAGAACATTTACAGGAAGGACTAGACGTAGAGATTACCTGTAGAATTTAAAACCATATTTGTCAAATATACAAAACTAAGTACCATGGCCAGAAAAGTTACATTTGAGTTACTCTTTGACTGACTCGTATAGACTGGATTTTGAACAGTAGATCGTTTTAGTAAAACGTAAATTCTTTAGAGCATCTAAAACAAGAATCTCACTAACGAGATAAACTTTTTTACCGAATTGCAATTTAAACGAACTGGGTAAATATTCGCAGTTGAGCAGTGCGACTCAGAACAAAGTATGCAGACCAATGACTTAATCGTTGAGTGTTGTATTACCTAAACTGTAAATTGGAGTACGAACAATAAACTGGAAAAAATTGTAGTCCTTGGTGAAACAAAAAAACTATGGTGGGAGTTAGTAAACTATGTACTAATTAAATTGAAGAGTACTTGATTTATCATATTCAACTTACCAATACTTCATTCGTTAAACACTCCAATAAACGTACTAGTAAGTAACCATTACGTAAATCCAAAAATAAATCTTGAACCCAACAATTACGCTGATAGAGAAAGAAAACGAGAAGAGTAAAGAAATGCAATAGGTAGATGTCTTTTTTCAATGAATCATTTTTAACTGAAGAATTGAAATCAATCTAGAAGTAGACAAACAAGTAGCCATAGAGAAAACAAATAAACGAAAAGCGATCAGGCACGCAATAAACTGTGAAATAGCCAGAAATTTGTGACAAATATCCCACGAAACTTACGCATCAGATAGAACGAGACAATCGTTTTACCTAAGTGAAATGTATCACATAAACATGAAACAATTCAATCCAATGATTATAATAATTAAATGACTGAAACACTAAACAGTTTATTGTAAAAAAAACCTGGGTCATAAAATGATTGATAAAAATACTGATAAGTTAAGCTTGCTACATTACAATTTCTTCAGGAGTAGATGATGGGTCTTGCAGGAAATAATGTGAAATTAAGAATAAGTTATAAGGGGAATAAAATGGGATAACTATGCAAAATGAAAGTCAGTGCAAATGATAACACGAATAAAGTCATTTGTACAAGGAGAGAGAGTTCCAAGTGGTCCCGTTCAGTAATAATAAGGTTCCCGTTTATACTTCAACATCGGGTATAGTGTAGTAGGTCAATAATTTACAAACTAGGTATCATTACTTAGGTTTGATTTGATAATTTCGAATAAATTGAACATTGGGTAGATTGTTATAAATAAATAAATAATATATTTGTGACATCCCAATGAGTAGAAAAATTAGATTTTCTGACGTTTCGTGACTTAGTTTAAGCCACTTCTTCAGAGAATAAATAACCAATAATATTTAATTTTTAAACTAATTCGCTAATCAAATAATGAAAAACCTGTGAATTCTGTGGTAGACATGTAATTCTTTCTATAAAAATAACCTTGAATTTTGATTTTTTCTTTCATATTTGACAAATTACAAGTAAATTTCTATTTCGATCTATTATGAAATCAAGGAGTACTGGATAGCTATTTCATTTTAATTTGAGACTTCAACAGTAAAACAATCATTTTGCATTTACTACAACTACTTTATTAGAACTGAAGACACTGACATTTTCTAGACATAATTAAATAATTAACTAATGTACCTTAGTAATTAAATATAAGATTTCTCGGTGGACTTTGAACCCCATTTCTTATTCAATTACATAATTCAATGTAATTGAATTGGACTGTGGTGGGGGAGATGAATCGACAGTTTCATTGTTGAAACTTGAATTCATTAACAACAAAGCCAACATTCAACGACAAGTTGAAATGAATATTTTAAGTACCGAAGTTATTAATGGACTATGATAACAATTAAAACAAATGATTGGAAACCCATACAGTGATGAACATATGAAACATATATATACTGCACAAAAATGTGAAACAAAAGATTAAAAACTAAAAGATAACATTTTAACTGCTAACGGTCAAAGAATTAAAACAGACACACACACACACACACACATTAACTGAGTAACACAATTACTCATTTGTTGTTTTGTTCACTGTTCAAACGACGAACAATTACATTGATTAAATAGATTAAACTGGAATTATATTACACGGATAATAATAATAATAATAATAATAATAATAATAATAAACGATAACGAAGGGACGATTGCTGTTATTATGTAAGAAATTGCACCATTTTGTTTTTCTTCACTGAAAAAAACAAAAATAAATCGCTTGCAGAAAAGCTAGCAAACAGTAACCGTGTAGAAACGTCAAGTACAGAAAAGCATTTCTTTAAGCAACTTAACAACTGACAGGATGAAAGGGGCATCAAATGACCCTGAAAATCACTACCAATCACGTAAAAAACATCAATGTTCAATAGAAAATAATACGAAAAAAGCTAAACAGGCACAGTTTATCATCTTTCGTTGATAACTATTTCAGTTTCGACTAAACATATGTGTAAATCATGAACAATAAGATACTGTCTTAACAAATTACATCGCAAACTCACTATTATTTTAAATTTAATTCAACTCATTTATAAAGTACATATTTGTCACCTAGCTTTCATTCACATTCTAGGCATGAAGAGTGTTGATGCTAATCGGTTTGCCAAACTGAAGTAGGTGGAGTGGAGTTGGTACCTTTAACGTCATAATTAGAGAGCCACTATTCACGTTTAGTTAGTCAACCAGTCAAAGTCAAGAAGCGTTGAACAGATGATATCATATTTGAAGCGATGACTATTGCATTCGAGTTTTAGTATGGATATCTCAACAGTGCTATCCAAGGAAAGCCAACTATATAACTACCAGTCACAATACAAAAAGAATAACTTCAACGAATCTAAATTGCCGTTACATACGGCGTATGTGCTTGCGGCTAGAATTCAGAAAAAAAGCAACCATATCCATAAATGCAATTTCCAGCATTAACTGACATTTAAATTATTTATCATATATATAAATAAATTTAATGATATTCAAACCAAGTTTATATGTGAAGATAAAAAAGAAAGTATTATTCATCTGTTGTGATTAATTCCTTGAACTTTAAATCATACTGAATAAGAATTTTCACATGAATAAATTACGAAATATTATGAATATTTTATGACCATTTAGAAAGCTAACTAACCAAAAATAGTAATAATGTGTTATGATCGCAGATAAGAGGGATAGATAGTGGTTTATTACTATGGTAAAAAAATATAGTGATCATAAAACATAATCCACTCAGGACATAGTTATTGCATTACAAGAATTCTACCAACCAGTAAGTACTAAACCGTGTTCCATCTTATGAAAAGCACGCATGAATGAAACCAACTTATTTTAACTGCAATAATACTACTAACAACAGCTAACTATTAAGCTATGCTATAATCAATTACAATCATTTTCATAATGTCCTCAATATAATAATAATGTAATTACTCATCTACATGTTGATGTAATCGGTTTTACGCTACCAATTAATATCAGAATAGGTTTTGTGGATATTTTAGAAATTTCACAGGTTGAATTCATGAGTCAATTGAAGCTAAACCACCATGGAAAACCTGGAAGCACTGGAAGGCTGTTTCGTCTCTGTATGGGACTCCTCAGCAGTGCGCATCCACGACCCCGCCTCGAGAGATTCGAACCCAGGACCAATCGGTTTCGCGCCAGGCGCTTAACCAACTAGACCACTGAGCCGGCATCCAACAGTGTTAATGTCTAACTTCAGCCAATCCACGAAGTTGCGCCACCATACACCATTGTCTTCGGTGAGTTCCTATCTCACAACAGACCTGGTTGAACTCCACTGGTAACGACTTCACACTAGAACTCCAGGATTATCTCCTGAAGTCAGTCACTAGTGAGCAGGTGATACCAATTAAGTTGTATGGGAACTAGTGACATCACTCGGAACTAATTTTAGTGGGAGATATGGGGGTTAGAACCTTAGCGATAATATACACGCATATATAATGTGTTGTGTAAGGGTGTTTAACTTATTGAGGTATCACAACGGAAAAACACAGAGATACAAAATAATTAAATCTTTCGTTAAAAGATGTTATTGAAATTAAATTAACTTGTGAAACATAACTAATAATGACGAGAATCTCTTGTATCACTATTCTTTCTTTCATTATTCATAAACCATTGGAATAGTAGAAATCATGTATATAATAGTGTAGTATATCCAAGCATGACTTAAAACGAGTTTATTTTCTAATATGATAATTGTGACAAACAATCGTGAAAAAAGTAGTACATATAAGTATAAACAACAAATCATTGTAAATAATTCCATGGAATTAATTTACAGCAAGAAATCACTTTAGCCCGATAAGTTCAGTCATTTTGTATCTACATGAATAAGGGAGATGCGCTAATTAATGTCAAACTTTTCTCAGTGTCGATAAAAATCAATAGGTAATGTTAAATATTTGCCGAATACAAGTTCACATTTAGGGGGATATTTTGTATGAAGGTTAATAATGCTGCTAGGCTACTATAACTGTATAGTAGAGGAAGATGGTTAAAACCTAAAACCTACTGATTAATAACTGAGTGTTTGGATCATTAAGTTATCGCTTCAACTTAGTTGGTGGTCTTTTCAACAGTTCACCCCCAACTCGGCTTATCTGAAGTGAGAGAAAGTATGAATTGAAACACAAAATATACATTTTAAGATAAAGAAGAAAACTGAAACGAGAACACAAATGTTAACGTAAAAATTACAAAATGAATTTCTAGCATACACAATGTTATCATCTGGTGAGGAACATTTCACCATCTTATATAAATGTCCACCAATATTGTTACTAACAGATAAACTAGTCTTATTGTTCAACCTTTCAGAATAAGATACTATTTAAAAAGAGATAATTCATTAACAAATGCACATGCACACATACACACTCACGAAAAGAAAAACGATACAATTTCGGAATTTCAAATTTCATTTTTTCATAGCTCACACAAAAAACGGTAATATCATCTGCAAAACAACATGTGCATATCTAATTTTTGATAAAGAAAAAAGAAAATTTTTTTTCCAAAAAAAGGAATATTTTTAGTGTGACTACACCAGATTTGTGAAATTTCGACTATGATACCGAAATTTTCACAGTGAATGTAAAAAAAAGAACATTAACAAGGGTTTTTCTATTGATATTTTTAAAGCGGGAATTGTAGTGATTGATATAAACGTGTATAAAAAAAATAGAGTGAAAAACTATCTTCTTTAGAAATTACTGCACATAGAGTCAAATGATTCAATAGATTATTCACAAGAAAGAATGATCAATCGATGTTTAGAGAATTAAATTACAGCCTGTCTCTATTCAAATGAGATAATCTAGATATAGACACAATGTGTAATAACATGTTAAGCTTCATATTGACAACCATTGTAGTGATCAATACTGAAAGAGTTGAGATGATTAACGCTTTCCATTATAAATGGCATACTTATATGCTATTAAACCCTTCAGAGTGGAAATATTGAACAAAGAGAATATTCGAAAATATTCAATATGATACTACTCTG